GTGGCGGGGTCGCGCAGCAAAAATCACGGGGGCCCCTTAGGGGCCCATAGGGGCCCCGAAGGGGTCCTTCTAGGGGGCCCTAGCGTCTGAATGGCTGCCCAAGAGTATGCTGGAATTTGCTACACACATTTCTGCCCAGTGTTTTGTGTGCTTTTGTTTTTCTTTTCGATTAAATTGGATAAAGTGGAAATCTAGCTGGATAAGGTGGATGGAGAGGACGTGACAGCTAGGGCGGCTACTGTTGGCTGCGTGGGGCCCACATTGCTACTTCAGCTGCTACTCTTGCTGCCGAAGGATGTGTTGTCATATTTCCTTGACACTGCTGCCTCTTTTGTTTGGAATTGAATGCATTAGGGTGCATTAATTTTATACGTTTTTCTTCAGAATTAGTTTCAAACAAGCAAGAGGAACAACACAGCGCCCTCACCTGCCTGGCCCGCCGCTGCCCCGCAGGTCAACTGAACAGCAGCAGCACTAGCAAAGCGCCTCAATAAGCTTCTCAATTTCGATGTAATTTATTCTTTTTCTCCGTCTTTCTTTTCATTGGACATTTTATACCGCGAAAACATTTGTTCGGCCATGGTCTGAACTGTGGCGCACAGCAGTACCTCCCGGAGCCGATCGCGCCGCGCAGCCAGCAGCTGCTGCCGCTGCTGCTGTTGCGGCGAGCAGCAGCAGCGGCAACAGCAAGACAACATGCACTGTAGCTGCGGAGATTTGGGCCGTGCAGAGCCCTTTGGCGAGCTACTCAGAGCAGCTAGCCTTCCACATCAGCAGCACCTGCAGCAGCTGCAGCATCAACAGTTCCAGCAGCACCTGCAGCTGCAGCTGCAGCAGCTTCCACTTCCGCAGCATTACATACACAGACCATGCATGCAGCACCAACCACCACAGCAGGTGCCACAGCAGCGGCTATCGCAACAGCAGCAGCAGCTGCCGCCGGCTCAGCAGCAGCTTCTGGAGCAGCAGCAGCACCACCACGTGCTTCACGAAGGTTGCCTGCATTCCATAAATAAACGAGTAGATGTGGAGCGCTTTGCTGCTGCTGCTGGAGCGGAAGAGCCGCCCTTGCGGCGTGGCTGCCGAGAGACACATCCTCTAATGCAGCAGCTGCTGGAATACCAGCGGCAGCAGGAGCAGATGCTACAGCAGCAGCACCTGCAACAGCTGCAGCAGCTCGATCAACTGCTACAGCCAGACACTCAAAATAGCGTATCTTCCCAGCCCCCTGGGTTTGTACAACAGCATCAGCAGCAGCAACATGATTGTAGGAGCGGATCCATATGCAAGGAATCTGCACAGCAGCAGATCCAGAGAAGTGGATTGGAAGGGTCGCAGAAGCACCAACTGCAGCAGCAACCGCCGCAGCAACCGCCTCCTCCGCCGCCCCTGCCACAGCGGAAGCAGCAGCAGCAACAGCAGCAGCAGTTACCACCAAAGCAACAGCAGCCGCAGCAGCAGCCGCAACAACAACCGCCACTTCTGCAAAGTCCTAAATTGGAGGGAAGGCGGCTACTTCTGCCAGCAGCAGGTTTACGGGAAAGGAGGAGGCAGAGTGCATCTTCTCTTAGCCCGCTGCTACCAACTCCGCCACAGCCGCTGCCGCAGCTGCAGCAGCAGCAGCAGCTGCCTCACAGGCGCATGCACAGCAGCAAACCACACATCGAGAGGATGTCTGAGTTGCGTTACTTCCACAAGACGCAGGACAGGAAAATTAATACGCGTTTGCCGAGCCCAGAGGAAGGAGCAGCAGGCTGCGCCAACTCGCAGCAGCTGCTGAGGCAGCAGCAGCAGAAGGCACAGAAGCAGCAGACGTACAAGCAGCAACAGAACAAGAGCCAAGAAAAGCTACATCAGAAGCAGCAGCAGCACTCACAACAGGAAGAAGTGCAGCAGCAGCCGCAGCAGCAAGACGGGCAGCAGCAGCATGTGGACAAGCAACAACAGGAAAAACACCAGCAGCAGCAGCAGCAAGAGGACAATGCATTGAAGGCCTCTTCGCCTTCCTGCAGCCTGTCTCCTCAGCAAGAGGCTGCATTGGCTCAGCTTCTGCAACAGCGCAGCAAGAGGGTTAGGGTGGAGCAAGTGGTGCTGCGACTCTTGCGAGACATGCAGTGCCGTAAGGGTAAGATTTCCTACAAGCAGCAGGAGCAATTGCAGCAGCTTCTTCTGCTGCAGCAAGTGCTGCTGCAACAGCAGGCGCAAATGTGGGACACTGCGTTGTTGCTGCGGGCCTTGAACGGCAGCGCGCAGGTGCAGATGCAAATGCAGCAGCTGCAGCAGCAACAACAACTGCAGCAGCAGCAGCAGCTGCAGCAACAGCAGGAACAGCACGGACAGCAACAGCACGCGTTCGAGTGCGAAGTGAAAAATAGTCTCAGCCGCATCCGGCTACAGCAGCAAAACCACCACAAGTTGGTGATGCAGATGCAGCAGCAAGTAGCAGCAAGTCGTGCTGATGTGTTGCAGGCAACCGCAGCGCAGCAGAAACTGAAGCAGCGACTGCAGCAGCTCAACGTTGAGTTCAGCAGACTGTCCTTTGGGAGCTCTGATGACATGGGGGAGGTGGAGAAGCAGCAACAACAGTTGCGGCAGCAGCAACAGCAGGTGCAGGAGCAGCAGCAGGTACTCCAGCAGCTACAACAAATACGACAGCAGATGCACCAAGATGTTGCCGCAGCAAGACACATCAGCCGCTGTCTCAGGCTGGAGGCGTCAGCTTTGTACGACAGACGCAGAAGAGCACACAGGCGCAGCAGTGTTCTCAAAGGCCCGCGTAGAAACGGAGCGCCTGCCGTTGAAGCAGCACCAGCAGCTGGAGCTGCTGCTGCTTCCCCATCAGCAGCTGCAGCCGCACCAAGACCGACAACGCCAGCTTCCTTGTATGCCCGAAATAATGCGGCGGGCTTCTAATGCAGCTCACGCACCAGCTGTCGCTGCAGGGGCGACTGCTGCTGCAGTAGCTGCAGCAGTACCAGCAGCAGCAGGGGGGATAATTTGTGGTGTCCACAAGTCAGCTTCGGTGTGGGATATCTATAGGATTTCTGGAGCAAGTGCAACAATGACAAAAAAGCCCAATCAATGCAGCACCATACGGTGCAGCAGCAACAGCCAGCTGCCAGGGTCACCCGCATTGTTGCGTTGTGGAAACGCAGCAGCAAGAGCAGCAGCAGCAGCAGCAGTATCTAGGTCATCGTTAGCAGCCGTGGCACTGTCGTGGGTAGAAACTGCAGCACAACAGCAGCAGAACGAAGGTTAGTGGGTTAAACAGCAGCAATGTAAACGACAGCGCGTTTTCCAGCAGCAGCTGCTGCTGCTGCATCAGTAACAGCAGCAGCAGCAGCAGCAAATTTACCATTTTGTTCAGGGACTTGGAGGTCCATTGTCTTCCATACATCGCAGCAAGGACCTCCCGTACGCTCCTCTCTTTAATGTGTATTAATGCCAATACACTACTGTTTGGGATCCGATCCCGCATGGGATCCGTACCCAGGTGGGGAACCGGTCTCATCTTGGATCCGGTACCCCATATTCATTTGACTCCCAGAAAGGATTCTGTCCTTTGTCACGAGCCAAAATAAAGGCTGGTGCATAGAGGAATCTGAACCCTTGTGGGGTCTACCTCAAGGTGGGATTGGATCCCAGGTATGGAACCAATCCCAGGTAAGGATCCCATTCCAAGCAGGATCCAATCCTAGCCCTTGAGCCGCTTCCAGGTGAGTTTCAAGTCTGATTAGGCCGTATGAGGGATCTGATCCCCAGTTGGTCCCTTGGATCTAGTCCCGTATAGGGAGCAATCCGATCCCTTGCTGGGTAGGAACCCATGCCGCATGTTCATCTTTTCAATTGGGAGGCGATCCCAACTGGGAGCCGTTCAGAAAGTGAGATTCTGGGGTGGGATCTGGTGGAGACCGATCCCACGATGGTTCCCTCTGGAGTCCGATCCCATGTGATATCGGATTTCCGTATAGGATGCGGTCCCTCGTGGGATCGGATCTCGATATTCCTAGACCACCTTCTGTGGGAGGTGTGGGGTGTGGAGGGTGTCCGCAGGGCCCCTGCTGCGGTGTACGTACAGCCGGGGTTTTCCTTAACCCTAAGCCTTGAGTCAAGCACCGAATGCGCAAAAAGCGTCTAGGTTAGAAGGAATAGGTCGTGGGGGATTGGGTCGATAGGGTTGCAATACGCTTTAGGGCTAAGGAGCTGCGAGTTGGTAGAGGTAGCGAGGTTGCTGAGCGAGTGTTCTTGCAGCTAGAAATCCTCTGGCTGAAGGGTGGGGCAGGCTCCTGCAGTAACAATATATATAGTTGACTTACTTTTCACAGTGTTTACTTTTCCGTGATTTCGGAGAAACGGCTCTTTAGCGGCGGAGTTATTGACTCTCCGGTAGTCTGCAGTACGGTAACAGGACGCAGCTCTAGGGTCGAAGATCAATTCACGTTTCTCAGTCCCAGTCCAGCCATTATGTCACAGGATATTTCCCTGAACGGATCCGCTTGGCACTGTATGATGAAGACGTTTACGGTACAGTGTACTGAATTCGAAGAAGATTGCTGCCCCCTTACTAGCAGGCCATCAGTTGCTACAGAAAAACAGAAGCAGCCATCCTAACATCTATTTTATTTCTTTTCTATTGAATAAATGTGAATTTTGACTAGATTCAAACTAAGATGGGTCGATCTGTGCTGCTTCGCTGTCTTCTTTGCCCTCTGTCGCCTGCGGTAGCTGCATGCATGTCGTCTTCCAGCCGCAGTGGCAGCACAGCGCTTGATGCTGGTGTTGGAGCCACTGCCGGCACTGTTTACAATATTCATATTTGAAATAGAATATTCATGTTTTTTATTTGCTTCTTGCGTGGGACGCAGGCCTTTGTGGTAGGCTTTGGGTGTTAAGGTGGTCCTAAACCGTAAACCATCGTAATTTCGTGTGTCGTCCTTTCAGTTCTTCTCCTCGCTACCGCTGGTCACCACTTCTGATGGCTCTTAAACGTCTTAAACACAATGAAGAATGTCCTTTCTCTGGGTTACAAGTCAGCAGCAGTGGCGGCGAGCAGCGCAGCAGTACCAGCTAGGTACTCCCCACATGCTGCAAGAGCGACAGCAGTAGCAGCAGCTGCTGCTGCCTCGGCAGCACGTTCTGCATCCACCACAATAGGAAACACAGTATGTTTGCTCGGAGGTCGTTCGACAAATGCTCGCAGAGCGAGCACAACCCGTAATGGCCCACTCAGGGGCCCCCAGAGGGGCCCCAGCGCTCCATGGGCTCCTATTAGTGCCCTAGCTGCGAATATGCCTTGGACTGGCGGCAGTGTTAGCGCGCCAATCAGCAGCAACAGCAAAAGCAGTGTTTTCCAAGAACGTCCCGCCGCCTCGCCTTCCGTTTCTGCACCAGCAGCAGCACCAGCGTCTGCTGAGAGCTGCAGAATAGTCATGTGTCGAACATTCCATCAAGTGCAGCAGCAGCAGCAACAACAGTTGTTGCTGCAGCTGCAGCAGAAGCAACAACAGCCGCACAGCCTCTTTTCAGTCAAAATCTATCCCTTCAGTGTAGCAGCAGCTATACAGCGCCGAGCCTCATCTCATGCTGCAGATGCATCTCAGGGCGCGTCTTCACAGTCGTCGAAACAGCAGCACAGAACGCAAGCCGCAGGAGCCCCGGGAGGTCCCCCGGGTGGCCCCGGCGCACCCCCAGGGGGGCCGCGTTCGAAGTGGAGGTTTGTGAAGGCCGCGGGAAGGCATGCATTTGCGGCGATGAAGAAGTTGGCGAAACTGTTGTGGCGGTAACTTCAGACCCTCGGACTTAAGCGTTTTATGTGAATGTTAGTTCTGAGCAATACGCAAGGGGCAATTGACGAAATTGTTATGGCAGTAACTTCAGACCCTAGGACCTACGCGTTTTATATGAACGTTTTTCTTTTTCACGTCTGCATCTGGAGTTGGCAAACTTCTCAAAATACGTGTAGATGCATCGGAGGCGGCTGTATAATTAGTTTGGCCGTGCGCCTGTAAACATATTACTGTTTGAGCCGATTCACCGTTTGTAAGTATCAGATTATGTATTCGCTGTTCAGTTGTTCATTTCTTCAGTTTCGTCGTGATCACCTGCCGGTACACTGCAGAGTTCATTCGGAACCCCCGCGTGGTGGAGAAGTGGTACGCGAAAGCCAAGCATGGTACGCAGACCCGCAGATGTTGGTCATGTTGTTTTGTTTGTTGATTTTTCAGAGAATTATTGTGTTTGCTTGTTCTTTTTAGCATATTCTGGCTGTGTTTGATGTGTGTTTCTGTCTTTCGCTGCTTTTCAAAGCTTGCTGAGAACTGCTGTTCGTCTCTCACTGTCTGGTGGTTCGGGGCATAGGGTTTGAATGGCGTGTGTGGCGCTTGTGGTGTTGCGCTATTTAAACGAGTAATCGTTTGTACTTATCGCGCCACAACTTTTCATTTATGATTCAGTGTTCATTACAGATTGTTAAGAGGCCAGGGTCTAGAGTCTCGAGTTGAGGGTTTAGTGGTTTTGGGTCTGTGCAGCAACGCTTCACACGGTGCGCTGGTGCTTGACTGGTTTTCGTCTGTTCTTCGCAAATGTCCGCGTATCGTATCAGCTGCTGAAGAAAAAGATACTGGGTTATCCTCTGAGGTATAATGAGCATAAGCTGTTCGTAAGACGAGGGTAGGGCTATTGTCATCATTTCATTTCGTCTGTCTTGCTCTGTTCCTTTGCCTCACTCATGATTCTGCTGTGGCATTGGGGTGGCTGATTTTTCTATCAAGGCTGTTTCTGTTTGCGATGGCATTGCTGCTGGTGCTGCCTTACTTGCTGCTTCAAGGGTCAAATTACTGTCGTGTCTTGTGTCCTCTTTGCATGCAACTCCTTGACTACATTGTGAAAGTGACCGATGGGTTGAGCGCTGTGCTGTGCTTACAGGTTCGTACTACAGCAGACGCTCTGAAGCTTATCCCCTTCTCGTTGCTTATTATTGTGCCGCTGGGGGAGCTGCTGATTCCCGTGGCTCTGCGGCTATTTCCAAACATGCTGCCTTCTACTTTTAAACAGCAGTAAATGCGGCACTAGTACAAATTAGTATAGCGAAGATTAGCAAGTTAATATGGCTAAAGAAATGCGAAGGAAACATCTAAACAAGGACTTTTTGAATGCACTAATCAATGAGCTGTGTGGACACTAGATGTGTATTTGTACCCACGGGCCAGCCCCAGGACATTATTGAAAGCCAATGAGGAAAATCTGCTCTGTTGGCTTATTTATGATTAAACTGCACTTTGCTTAGTTGTTCATGAATTAGTAAATAAATGAGAAAAACATACTTTTCTTTGTCTTTTGCATGTTTGTGGGGCTGGTCAGTGGTTATAATTTTGTCACCTGTCAAGGTGTAGAGCAGTAAAGGAAGCCATATAATTAGCTCGATAATGTCGCGACTTTAAGTTAAAAAACTGTACAAGTGAGTGGCTACTTACGGGTAGCGCCCAGATCGCTTCCTTTTCTGCTGCTGTTCCTACTAGGCCCGTTGCTGCGGCTTCTGCTGCTACAGGCCCGTGGACCACGCCTTCCTGAGTCGCAAGCTGCAGGCTAAGCAGGAGTTGGCGGCTTTCTTCCAAGAGTTGTTACAGGAGCGGACGAGGCAACTGATAGGTGTGCTTTGCTCGTTTAATAACTTGTATACTTTCAGTCGGCTCCTTAGCAGTTTAATGCGCTCGGTTACCAAGTCTGCTATTAGACTTCGGTGTACACAAGTAGACTGCTGATTTTGTAAACTGTCATCGTGTGGTTGGGTTTGGGGTGTATGAACAGAACAAACCCCTGCTGCAGATTCTGCGGCGAAGGCAAAAGCCCTCAAATCGTTCCAAGCAAAATTGCTCAAACCAAATAATACTTCAGAGCCACCGCTTCCTGGGTACAACTGCTGTTGCTGCTGTTGCAGTTGCTGCTGTTACTGGCGTTGGTTTCTTTGGTGTTCTTCTCGGTGCTGTTGCTGCTACTGTTGCTGTTACTGATGCTATGACAGTAAAGGGGCTGTTGCACATGCCGGGTCTTGACCCTACCTCTGCTGCTGCTGCAGGTTGAAAGAGGTGCTGGAATTTTCGCGTTTGTTTAAGGACGATTTTGTTCTAGATAAGATGGACCTGCAAACTCTTCAGGTAGGCAAAAGCGGAGTTGTCAGCATTAGCTCATTTGCATTTCAAGAAGCGCATGTTTGTTCATTCGTTTGGATGCACATATGCGCGTACGGCTAAGCTCGCAAGCGTTCTGAGGCAGCTGAGCGTGGAACTTTTGTGCAATTTTGTTTGTTTAGCCTGTTTGTTTTGTGAACGTGCCGGGGTGTATGTACAGGTCATGTGCAAGTTGCTGGGCCTACAGCCCTACAGCGTCCGCTCCCATGTGGTGCTGCAGTTAAGGTACGAGCAGCAGCGAATACGTTACAGAACCAATTTTAAAAATCTTAATGAATAAGCATTAAAAGTACAGCTAATCAGCTTTTTCCACTACTGAACTGGCGCCACCTCAATCAAGGCCCACTTATGTGTATGGGCGACCACACGAACCCACCAGTATAGTCATCATGATCCTGAGCAGCAACGGCGACAGCAACTGCGTGAATTTTGGTTTTCTAGACACCACATAAACCACATACAAAGGGAGGACAGGGAGTTTCTTTGGGAAGGCGTGGAGAGCCTTACCCACGAGGAACTCGTGGAGGCCTGCAGAGACAGAGGCATGAAGTTCTACGGCACCACAGATGACGCCATGAGGGAGCAAGTAAGACATAAACATACATGAACACATATGTTCATATATGCTTGTGTACACGCGTATATACTTACACATGCATGCGTACGTTTGTGTGTAGATGCGTATGGCGCAATGTATGCCTGCTTGCTTGTGTGCATGCTCTTCGTCTCTGCTTTCATATTTATATATGCTATTTGCATACCTAGATGTTATGTTGAATCGCCTTCACCTTGCTGCTGTGATTGGAGTATACTTGCTGGAAAGGGGCGGCAACTGCGCACTGCTGCGTTTAGTGGTTCCCTCTCCAGTGATTTTTACTTAGCCTCGTAATTACTTCAGCATGCCGCTAAACACAATTACACGTCATGTGCTAAGCTCTGTTCGCCTGTCCGCAGATGAGGCGCTGGCTCGAGGTGTCAAGCCACTGCGACGTGCCCCCAATTTTGCTGCTGTGGAGCCGCTGCGTATCTATGATACCTGCGTCTCGCTTGCCAGAAGCAGCAGCACCAGCAGCGCCAGCAGCAGCAGCAGCAGCTCCTGGAGCAGACGAGACGGCAAAAGAACCCAGCATATCGCTTGCTGCAGTCGCAGGGCAGCAAGCTGCAGCAGAGGAGCAGAAAGATGAGGCTTCAGCAGCAAAAGAAGCTGCAACGACTGCTGCTACTACAGCAGCGGCGACGGATGCCGAAACTGAAACAGATTCATTGAGGAAAACAGGTATACACGCCGAATACGCACTACCATGTGCAGGAACAACAGAAGCAACAGCGTGAACAGCAGCATCAGCAGCAGCAGCCTTCGCTTCTGTTACTGCCGGTGCCTTCCTCTATCTCTCTGACCGTCAGCTGCTTGTTCAGGCTTGTCTATAGCGTGACGATGTAACTGTATTCCCCTCGTTTGTAATATTATGTGTTGATCTGCTCCATTTACAGCGAGCCTCGAGGCAATGACGAAGCAAGTAGAGCTGCTGAGGGAGGAGGAAGAATCCCTAAGGCAAAGCATTTCATTGTTGCAAGTAAGTAATATGTGCTCATCCATGCTGTGCTTTCACTTTTTCTTCTGGTAAGTATTTCCGCCTCGTGCGGCTAAATAATTAACTAAGAGGAGTAGAATCATAGGCGTATCCGCTGCTGCTTTTGGCGTCGTCTTGTGTTCAAAGCTCAATTAGTGTACTGCTGTATTTCATGTCAGGTGCATGTATTCCGAATTGTGTTTACTCTTAGCGCTGCTGCACTGAAAGACGAACTGCCGGATCACCCGGATCTTTCTGCTGCGTTTACCCGCTTTACGTGATACGTGTTTAGAATCAGGGGAAGCGAACTGTAGTTTGGCATTTGCGCGTGCAGGAGGAGCGAGCACAGCACACCCAGATGCAGAAGCAGCAGAGGCATCCGGAAGCTCCAGAGGATGCCCTAGACACTTCAGCGGAAACCCTACAGCAGCAGCTGCAACAGCAGCAGCTTCAACAGCAGCAGCAGCCAGACGTCCCAGAAGTTCAGGGTACTCCTGGAGACGCAGCTACCGTAGAAGCAGAAGCGCAGGCGAACACGGAGTCAGGGAAAGAAACGTGAGTGTTTTAGTAGAGGTTCGGATTTGAGTTGGGCCGCTGGCCCAACTCAGATTGCGGCGTTTTAATTGGAATGTAGGGTCAGACGATTAAGCCTTTGGATTTAGGGTTTAGGCCAAAGGGTTTACGATCTAGTGCATTCGATGGAGAGCAAAACTGTAGGGTCCATGGTTTGTGGTTTAGATACTAGGCATGACTTTTTATATGGTTTTGAGTTTAGGGTGGGGGTATGGGGCCTTGTGTTTCTGTAGGCGGGATGGCCGCGATGTGGAGAGAGAGCTTCGGTTGCTGCGGCAGTTGACAGATATACAACACGAGTCCGTCTGCTGCTGCTGCTGCCTGTCTCTGTTTTACTTTATCTGTGCTATGGTCTTTTAATTCTGCTTTTTCCGCTCTTTCTCGCAGAAGTTCTCTTGTTTGTGTGCTTTAGTAGGCTGCTACTGCTGCTAACTCCGGTGCAGTTGTTGATACCTGTGTGGCCTCTTTTTCATTAGATGTTGCTCCGTGACTTTTACTGCCTCTGATCATGTCTCTCGCCTTCTCAGTTGGTTACGACAGTTCAGTTTATTTTGATCTCCGCCTACTTATTCAGGCACGAAGAGAGACAATTCCACGTTTTTAATCAAGTGCAAATGGCCGTGGAAGCACTCAAGAGCAAGCTCGCGCCTCCCACCAAAGGAACAGCAGAAGCAGCAGAAGCAGCAGACGCAACAGTGTCAGCGGCAGCAGAAGCAGCAGCGACAGCCGCAGAAGTGCTCGAGCCAGACCCCAAAGAAGTACTGCGCCAGCAAGCAGCAGAATTGCTGAAAGATGAGTTGCACGAGCTCGGTAAGCCATCTGCGTCTTTTTGATCCGCGTTCTTTTGCTTTGCCATATATTTTGTCCTTGCGTACAAGTAGCCTAGGTTATCATGAAACAACAGCAATGGCAAGAAGCAGCAGCAAGTGTACCCTTTTCCAGACTTAGCCAAATTAATAGTTCGGTTGTTCGGTTGTTGTTTTCTCTTCTGTTTACCTCAGATCTATGTATGGCTCTGTTGGCCCAAGAGTTTGCCGAGGACGCGAAGGAAGTGGAGCATTTCATGACAGACGCAAGAAACCCTCCAGACGATGTAATACAATAGCGAACTAGTCTAGAAACACATGAACGAAGAGTGAATGAGTAAATAGACAAAGTCGGTGTCTGTACATAAGAGTTTGTGACATGCAGCTCACATTGAAGCTTAGGTGAACCTTTTCCTGCTGTGTGCAGAGCGCTACGACTGAAGGCGAGGGACAGTCAGCAGAGGACGTCAGCGAGAGAGAAAGGGAAAAAGCAGAAATGAAAGTGACGAGTGAAACAAATGCAGATGAGAAGCAGCCAAACGAAACAAATAAAGTACACAAAGCAGAGTCATGAGCAACTCTGCTGCTGCATGCACGCAGCGCTTGTTTGCGGTATGGTTAGCTTTGGGGCCTTGTTTGGGCCCCTGTCTTCTTTAGTTTGTGTCCAGTGAGTTCATCAATGGAGCTGTGGTCAGAAAATGCAGTATGACAGCTACAAGCAACACAAACGCGACACAGGCGAAACACTGTGCAGCTGTAGCTCAAGTGAAAACTGCGTTCCTCTGCACGTTTTGCGTGAGGTCTCCAGTGTATGTGTGTTTGTGTAGACGGCAAGGCAATAGTTAAAAGAAGCAGTTGTATCATTGCACCAAACAACCCTTGATTTCATATACAGAGAAAGCGAAAAAGATACAAGCAAGAGCGGATACAGGCAGGGATAGCCGCGCAGAATCAGTAGTAGGGAGATATGAGCGGAAGGCCTTGGCCTCTCTAAACCTCAACTGATATACCTGTGGCTGTTGTGGTAAATAGACTACTTGTCTACGCTCAAGTACAGCATAGGAGGACTAACAGCGTCGAATAATGATTGAGAACGCCTGTCATCCAGAAACCTAGCAGGCAAGAAATATTGCTGCGGAATAGTGGAAGAGAGCAAAAACTTATCGGGAGCTGCATTTGGTAAAAATAGTTTATCTGTATCAATTGTTAGAGTGAACAATGAAGGCTTAGAAAAGAGCAGTAGTTCAGAACAAATTTTTAGTGGTGCTAGAAGTAGTCAAAAACGGAAGCAAGCGGACACGTAGTGCGCAATCGCCGAGGTGAGAGTACACCCCAAAGCCACCGTTTCATGCTCTTCTGGCTTTTTTATGTTTGCTGTTAAAACAAACCTTGGCAGACAAATAAAACCTAATTAAAATAAGAACGGCAGAGAGAGGACTCTACGCCTTGCGCACACCGCAAGTAAGTGAGGCACACCCCAAATAGCTGTGTTAACACATCAAGCTGGACGCACAGCTCAACCAGTGCACAAACACACAAGGCAGCTGCAAGCACACCTAAAGGAGCTGCATGCTCACCCCGGGTGGCTACAGATGAACTTGGTGGTGCTTCTTGTCTTTTTTTGGCTCAGTTTGTACCTGTGCGTTTGCACTAAAACGAATAAAACGGTTTGTTTGTCTATCTGCATACATGTGTAGGACCTGGTCCAAGTCACTCCAGGGATTTTCCTTCTGCATGCTTATCTGCACGGGACTCTTCTCTCTCTTTCCCCTTCTCGGCTTCTTTTGTTTTCATCTCTTCCTCTTCGTCTTCCGTCTCTGTATCCTTTGTTTTCTCCTCTTCTTCTTTTTCCGCCCCTTCTGGTTTCATCTCCTTTCCTTTTTCTGCTGGCTTTTCCTTTGTTTCTCCTTGTTTCTCCGTCTCCTTTGATTTTGCCTCCCCTATTTTTTGTGGCTTTATTTTGGCCTCTTCCGCTTTTCCCGTTTCCTTTGGTTTTGCTTCCTCTTTCTCTGTTTCCTTTTGTTTTGCCTCCCCTCCCTCCGTTTCCTTTGGTTTTGCCTCCTCTTTCTCCACCAATTTTGTTTTTGACTCTTCTTCTACCTGTTTTGTGCTTTCTTCAGTCACTGCATGCGTTTCAGCGTGAGGCTTTATTTCTGCCTGCTTTTCCGTTTTCCTTTTCACTCCAGAATCAGTTTGTTTTATTGCCTCTTTCCCTTCTTTCTCCTTTCCCATGCCTTTGATTATTGTGTTTCTTGTTTCTTCTTCTTCCTCAGCAGGCGTGATAGCTGCTTCATGCGTCTGCTGTTGCTTCTGCGGCGGCTCTGTCTCAGCCTGTTTTTCTGCTTGCTTGGATTCTGCTGCTGCTGCTGCTGCTTGTGCTACGGGGCCCTCGTGTCTCTGTCTCGCTTTTGGCTCAACTACAGTCACGGACCCTATTTCATCTATCCCTAGGACAACCACATTGTCTGGTTTTTTCACCTCCTTCTCTTTCGTTTCTTCTTCCTTTTTCGTTGGAGGGATGTAAAACTGCAGCATGCACAGCTTGTACTCTCCTGGTGAAGCGATCTGAACAAAGAATTAAAGGAACAAGCAAACGTGGGAGGAAGCACAAGTCAATTGGAAAGCTTATTACTAGCACATGCTACGCAATAATATGCGGGAAACTAAATAATAAGGGTGAATATTGCCGCTTGATAGTTCAACCTTTCAAATTTGCCTAGGTTAAATACGTGGGCACCTCGCATGCGAGTTGTTCCTTTACATGCGCTGGGCTAGCTAGACACACATCCAGTTCTAATGATGAGAAACCAGACATGTTGTTGCTGCTGCATCTCATGCATAATTTGCATTCTACGCGCATGAAATGTTCTTGTGCACAGTTTATTAGCCTCAAGCAGCTCTTCATATTGTTTCTCAAATGAACAAAGTCTGGAGCATAAAGGGCATTTGTCTCAAGAACAGGTCTTGTCAATCGAGTAATTGGCTAGCTCTAACGGATTCGCCTATTTCTTATTCATGCGACACGTCACTTATTCATTCGCAGTTTAGCTTCTTTCTTCACGTGTTTTATATTTCTCACCTGTACATTCTCGAAGATGGCACCGTGCTCAAGCACACGAGGTGGAGGCATCTTCTTTACGTTTTGAGTGTCTTCTACAGTGGCCAGAACAGACTCGGTGCCAGTAGGCCTACAAAAGCAAAATATACTAAGTGGATAAAACAAGCTTATTAATTGGCTAGTCAAACCTTTAAGTGTATATTTACGAAACAGCAGCTAGAGAAGAATTATCAGCAGCAACAGCAACAGCAGCAGCGCGGATGGAAATCGAAAGTATAGTGTGGGCGTTTTTTGCTGCATACGCGCATTGAGTTTTTTTGTGCACGGCCATTAGCCGCAAACAGCTGTGCATGTTGTTGCCCCGGATAAAAAGAGCCTGAGGCATGGGATTGTTGGCCGGCTGAGCAGAGGAGCAAATAGACAAATAGGCAAGCGAACTCAAGAGGAAGCCAAAGCGAGCAGATTCATCAGCAGTTTGATAAACATGAGCAGTAATTATTGTCACTCAGACTAAACACAAACTGCATCTACATGTTTTTCATGCCTTCTGATTGCCATATGGTCAGTAAATCTGAAGGTAGAGGCGCCGCCATGAAGAACCACAAACATAATAAATATATATGCGCCTACGTATGTAATACTTTTATACATAGTATATATGTGTGAGGGGGATAGTAGGTCCAGGCGCGTGCACGTTTAGACACACTCTTTCTGCATGCAGATTCTACAAATTCAGGTCTTTAACGGAAGCGCATACATGACGTAATTGTGTGCACGTATATGAAAGAATTTGAACGTAAGCAAATACTGATTGACGTCGACACCTATAGACATTTTGTAATACCAACTGCGTAAAAGGCGACACATTTACGTATGTATATGTACGCATGTGCATAGAAGCCATTTACGTATGTATATGTACGCATGTGCATAGAAGTCTGGAAAAAATTGAATTAATGTGAATATATTCACACTTCTATGTGTACGCAGACCTTGCTAAGTGACACGGCTGAGCAAATATGAAATACAGATGCGTGAACTCAAAAACATGGGGCGGAAACAATGATGAGAAAGGCGATTGCATGAGTAACAAAAATGTAGGCAAAGAGTAACTGTGATATAATTCAAGCAGTTTGATTAAAGTGATAAAAATATAAAGCAAGAAAAATAGTAATGTAATTCAACAATCGGATTAACGGTACATCTGTCCACTCATTCATCAGGGCTTACGGATGCCAAAAGTTCATACCGTCGTCCGCGAACAGGTGCCGCCATGGCACAACGGGTGTAGGACTGCAAAATAATAAGAGCGTAAACAGACTACTTACTTAGTTAACTGCTAGGTTTATAATTCGCTATGTACGTACACGGATGCCCGCAGTGCATTTGTACAGAGTAATGGCTGCGCTGCATCTATTCGCACATTTCTTGTTCACATTTCAAGCCTTTTCAGTAGTTTTGCTTATCGTCATGCGTGTTTTTCTGCTGCGCCTCTACGGCCAGCACACGACGAGTTCATTTAGAGAGAGGAAAGTATACAGCTTTCAGTGACAAACCAAGTAGGGCAAAATGTTGCTAATTAGGCAAAATGACCTAAATGCATTGTTTGTGTTGTAAACAAGTAACCAACTGGGCAGAATGAAGCTTTTAAAATCAACAATTCCAAAAAACTAAGCCAAGTATTTACCTCTGGGCACGCTGCCGTTGCCTCATCTGTAAAAGGCACACAATTACGAAAGCCACCGCCACCCGCAACCAAATCGTATCTCTGCAGACGACACGCCAAAAAATAGTGGATAGACAGATAAGAAGGGATAAACGTGTGGATAGACAAGCACTGAAGCAAACAAATGAGTAGTTGAATTGGCGAGATACTAGGAAGCAAGGAACTAGTGATTGTTTATTTGTAGTCTTGACTTACAAAACAGTGCGTAGCAAAAGTTGGCTTGTTGTCGCAGGTAGTTGGGTCGCATTCTGAAGATAAAAATAGAAATAATTAATAAACTAATTGCGAAAAGTTAGAACAATCACATTAATGAAGAGTGGCACTTATGCAACCCTTGATGAGAATAACTAAGTTCAGTGCCAGGACATGCATGTTTCCATTAGTACAAAGAAGACGGGAATTAATTCAAACAAAAATAGGCATGATAAAAAGCTAGGCAACTAGCGACTATATTTGATGGAGCAGTGACAAGCAGACAAACGGAAAGACAAATGGAAAGTTACGTCCCCATGACTACAAATAGACGCGGAAAACAAAAACTCCTTGCACCTATAGCATGATTGCATTGGGCTCCATGCACTAATTAAACCAGTGGGATGATAAGTGAACAGAACAGTGTGCATTCTGGAAAAAGGTTATAAGGTGAAAAGGAATGCAAGACAACAGGCCAACCAGCCAGCCAAGTGAGCAGGCACAGAATCTAACAGTGCCAACTACCAGTATTAGGTGGTGAGACGAATGACTCCTTGTTAAGCTAACAAAAATTCAAGCATCTCACCACTTAATACCGAAACGAATAAACAGCTGAGTAAAAAGGAGGCAGCACGCCAGCCCTGTGTCTGTATAAATTCCTACCGACGGGACAGTCTAGCGGGGGAACTCCAGTTTGCTTGCTGATGAGTAGTTGCTTTTTTCTTTGCTCTTCTGTCGTAATCGCTCTGGGGAGCTCCTGTGGTCTCAACACTCTGTTGTTCGTCTCCCTCATAAATTGCTTGTTTACTTTCTCACTCGCTTCTGCAAGCCGCTTCAGGGTCTTCTGGACCTGTACGTTGGGAAATAAGGCAGGCAATATATAGAGAGACATTAACAAGACATCACTGTTACAATAATATCATTAGCACTCAAAGACAACGATGTCCAGCAAACAGCAAGCTCGTCTACTTCACACGAAGGCGCCTCGTAAACTTGGGACATATTGCCTCAGATCAACAGTCATTTAACTTAGAAGTGGTGGCTTCATGCTTCTTTTGTTTGCTGCCGTCATTTGTCGATGTGCCTGTGAATTAACAGTTTGCCTCACGTTTGTAAGCTTATTCCATATGCTGGACACTGCTGACTGCATGAGCACCTGCACGTGCTTCAGCAGATTAAGGTGTGCTATTTCTTTTTGTTTTATTTTGATCTCTCTTTCTTTCAATTCATTTTGAACTCTTAAACGGGCAGTTAGCTGCTGCGCTGTTGCTGCTGCAGCTGCCAGCTGCTGCTGCTGCTCAGCGTCCTCAATGCTCATAGCAGAGGCACCAGAAGGGGTAATGACGTTCGCTCGGGGACCCCCCTCACCCAGCATGTGCAGCTTGAGCAAAGCGTCTTGCTGCAGATCACGCGCAATGACAGGAGCAGCGAAAGGTCAATAAGAAGGAGCAAACATGGAGGCAAATAAATATATTCTTTGAGTGTAGGCCGGGTGAACACGAGACATGAATAACTTGGCTACTTGACAAAGTTCATTTGTTCACTAATTTATGTCTTCAATTCTGCATTGTGCTTTATCTTACCTCCATGCGCTGTATGTTGGCTAATTTTGTGGCCTTTTCTGCCAGCTCTTTCGCGTGCCGTTCTCGCTCTTTCTCCTTTTCTTCTTCTGTTTTAGGTACCGCCTTTTTTTCTGTCTCTTTCTCTTTAGGCGCTTCCTCTTTTGCTGCAGGAGGAGCTGCAGCAGCAGCAGCTTTGTGTGGTGGCTTTTCCTTCTCGGTCTTCTCCTCTGTTTCTGTTTCTTTCTTTTCGGGTGCTTGTTTAAGATGTGTTATTTCTTTCGCTTGCTTTGTTGCTGCCTCAACTTCCTCCTCCTCCTCTTCTGGCTCCTCTGCTTCCGCTGCCATTTTCTCTACAGTTTCTTCCTTGGGAGCCTTTCCTGCCTCTGCATGAGCTCCCGCCTCAGCAGGTGCTCCAGTGAGTTTGGGATGGGAGGGAGGCTCCTCGTGCTTTGTCGTAGCGCTTTCCTCGTGCTCTGTTGCGGCTTCGCCCTCTTGCTTTGTTGGAGCACCCCCCTCGTGCTCTCTGGGGGGCTTGCCCTTGTGCTCTGTTGGTGCTGCAGTGCCTTCCGTCTCGCTGGGTGCTGCTGCACTTGCTTCTGATTCCTTGATTTCCTGCTCATGTTGTTCTGTTTTCGTCTTTTCGGCAGCTTCCTCCTCTCCTCCATGTTTTGCTTCTGTTTCGCTTAGCCCTGTTGTTCGCGTGTTTTCATTCGTGTCTTCTTCTGCATGCGTGTTTTCTTCCTTAGCTCCTTTTTTCTCATCTGCATTCTGCTTCTCTTTGAGCCCCTCCCCCTCTGCACTGGATGAAGCCTCAACCAAAGATGCAGCAGAAGCTGCCACTGGCTGCTGCTTGTGCTTCTGGCCACTTGCTGCGGTAGCAGTAGCAGTAGCTGAGCTTTTTTCTTCTTTCTTCAAATTGTTTGTAAGAAATTCCGGTAAAAAGGGCAAATGAGGCTTCACACCCGGAGATGAGTAGTGAGCGGGTACAGCCAACAGCACCTCGTCGTCCTTTTCAGAAAGACTCCCATGAGCTCCGTCCTTGATGGAGTGCTCAAGAGCCCCGGCGCCCTTGGCCTCCCCACTGGAAGGGCCTTTCTCGGCCACCTTGTTGGGATCTCCAGGAATCCCTTTAGGCCCAACTTGAATCCAGGAGCCTCCTGTTGAGGGTTGGGTTGAGATAGGAGTGGCTGACGGCCCCCTTGCATCTTCTACATCCATATTCTTCTGGCTGTGCTCGTCGGGGCTTGCATGGAAGACGTGTACTGTTGCAGTTAATTTGTTCTTGTAGCTTTCTTCCGTTAGCATCTGAGCGGCAGAGAAGGGATCCACGGGGGTGCCATTCAGTGCTGCTGAGTTTGCCGGTTCTTGTTTATCTTGCTTAGAAAGAAAAAGAAAAGATGGGCGGCCAAGCTGCTCTTGCAGAAGGCCGCGAAATTGTCCGTGCAGTGGTCCCCCAGGGTCAGTCAACGACGTTGAGGGCTCAGTGAACAGCGCCAACCCTAACGCTGCCCAAAGGAGCAATGGCTGCTGCAGCAGCATCTTGGCGAGCAGCAAGGAGCTCTTCACTTTACTGAGTAGCTGTGGCCCATGCGCACGTGCATGAAGCGCTGTAGCTGCTTTGATCTGATCACGGATAGACGGAGGGGATGCACAGGGGCCCCCTGAAAGATTGAGAGAGGCCCCGGAACGGGCTGTAAGCTGCATCTAGCTGGCTCAAACAGTATGGCTACTACTTGTCGCCCATGTTGACTACAACAGAGCCGGTCAGCGGGCAGAACGAGAGAATAAAAACTCAAGGAGGGAAACACAAATGTGTCCTTTAGTCAATAATTTTCCTCTAGGTAAGAACAAGAGCCAAACCCTCAAACAAAAACGATGGAGCCAGCGGAGACAACCGGGAAAGCCAACACGGCGGAAGGGGACCCTGCATCTCTTGGCTTGGAGTGTGGCTGCTCAAAAGGACAGAAGTCGAAAACAAGTTCAGGCCCCTGCTTAATTAGTAAAGAAGACTCAAAAGCAATGCAGCGAAGGATCACTTCAAGACTGCAGCGATTAAGGCAATCGCGCAGCTGCAGCCACCGAAATGCAGCGGAGACTCGCGGCTTTATGGGGCCAAAGAGAGCTTTTTATTGAAACACAGCATCTTATCGCTTACAAAACTAAGTTTAAAGATCTTTCGATTCAAAAGTGGTAATCATTAAGTGTACCTGGCGAGATACGCACGGCAGCAGACCGGTGGCCTACCACCATCATGCGTAGCGCCTAGGGAGGTTCTGAGTACTTGCTGGTCAGCAGCGTACACTTTATTTAGTATCACTCTCTCTTTGCGTTTCAATTTAATCTACTCCCCTATTTCGCTAGATTTTGCGTTTCTGGGAGGCGTACTTGTGTCTCCTACCCTTGTGCGCCAGACATGCGGTCGTGGACTGGGCTGACCAGGCAGCGCGTGAATGATTCGCACAAACTTAAGAGGAAAATTCGAATGATTTAGTTAACGTCTGCATTTCTGCGGCTGGCAAAGTAAACTGTCCAGGTTTTTACTCCTGACTCAGCCCTTTTTCTCCCACTAGCTGCACTGGTGGCTGCGGCCGACTTTTGGCTTATATCGGTCGTTGGCGGGGACGGGGTAACAAATACCCCTCTAAATCCCCCATTTTCGTCGCTTGATCAGTTTTCAATCATAAGGATGTAATTAAAGCAAACCTACAGAGCAAAAAAGTCGAACAAAGATACACCACGCAATGCAAGCGATCCGCAAAATATTACTCTATTCACCACCTCGACACCGAGTAGATACGATAGCCTTTCAGCATTAAAAAAACTACGGAACCGCAAAGTGCAAATCAACCAGTGATTCATTAATGTGGAACCAATGAGACTAGTTTTTTTTACTTGGCCTACTTGCGTGCAAACATAGATGTGCGTGTGTTCTACGCCTTATGAGCCAACGTTCTGACGCAGAGGTATGAAACCTTCCCTATATCTACATACTCACCCGCGTAGACTCAGATTGCATGTATGCAGTTGCTCATCTATTTTTGCATTTGTGCACATACAGACTTTTATAGATATCCATATGCATGCACATGGTTGTACGCCTTGTGTAACCACTTTTACGGAAGTATTTGTGTGTTTCGAATGAGCATGCATTTACAGGCGAAGGTGTACTTAGGAAAAGGCAGACCCACGTAGCAATAACGTCCCCTCACCACAACAGATGAGACTTAAAGGCAGCATATGCACGCACATTGACATACCTAAAAGACCACCTCGACTCCACATTAAATTTCAGTCCACCTATGTTTAGTTCCGTAGACATCCTTCGCGCATTACGGACGACAAGCTGGCACACCCGTAAAAAATGTCTAAAAAATTAAGATGTGTTTTATGAATGATAGTACAAGGGTTGAGAACTAGATTCGAGAAAGTGCAGATATTGACTCTACTGTAGGAATTCCTGAACGACCCAACTTGTCGAGGGCTCCACGGATTTCCAGTCGCAGGTGCCACTGGTAACTGACACGATGGACACAGTTAATTATTTAACGTTTTGATCAACTGTGTGGATTTAATTTAGTGTAGTTATACTTCCCTTCAACACAGTTCCTTCTGTACTGCCTACAGACAAACACAAACATTGCACACAGGAATGCCGCCTCTGCGCCCGGGCGGAAACCCCTCAAGTTTGATACTGGATAGTAAATGAAAGCCATCAAAATGACAGAAATGTAGAGCAATCAGTCAAGGCATAGTTAATTACTCGCATTCATAGATGTTCTTTGCTGAGGTTTGCATGTAGTGTCTATCGGTGTCCGCTCACCACTCGATCGTCATGATGATTGCGTTCGTTTGAACCGAGAGTCTCACGATTTTGCAAATTTATTCGCGTGTAAACATTGAAAAAGAACCATTTAGATTGTTGTGAGCCAACGTTCTTTGTTTCTGAGGTCCGTTCGTCGCTTCCTGTCAGTTGGCTCTTTGAGTTCAGCAGCTTCGCCGCTTCCACGTTGTGCGTGTCTCTTTCTCCCGCACTTTAGTGGCTTTTTCTAATCATTCGTTTCATTTTTGCGATATCTTTATCTTTCAAGGAGAAGTTTCGATTTATCTGGGCCTAGGCTACAGTTGCTGCCCTGTGTTGCCCTCTGCTGCGCACCTGTGGTCAGAACAGCACCCGGAGCAACGTGAGTGCCCACATTTTGCTTATTCTCGACGCTTGAGCCTTTCCTTCTACAGCTTACTCATCACAGAGGCTACTCAGGCGCCTAAAAAGAAAGGCATCCCTTCTATTTTGCACAGACAGCCATTGTCGCCATGGGGCTGGAGCCCCGGGACTTGCACAATAAGTCGGAGTTCACAGAGATATGGGATGCTCTCGACCTCACTTCCAGCGTAGCCCTTAATGCGCGGCAGCCGGCGCCTTCGGCCTCGCGACCTTCTGCTGCTGCTTCGGCTGCAGCAGCAGCACCAGGGCAGGGCCGCGACACTGCAGCAGACGCAGAAGGAGCAGCAGCCTCTGACCTCCCAGCTGTCTCAGCGCCAACAGGGGACGCAGGCCCGCCAGCTAGTGAAGCCGGCTTGTCAGGAGCAGAAGCTGTGGCAGCAAACACAGGAAGCTCAAACGCCCTGGAGCAAGCAGGGGCCTCACGGGCAGCTGAAGACTTACAGGCGGACGCAGCAGCAAGTGCTGCTCCTGCTGCAACGGCAGAAATAGCGACTTTGCAGCAGATCTTGAGGACTCGAGAAGGCAATCTGGCGCTTGTGTCCGACGTAGATGAGCAGCTGTTGATAAATGTCTGCTTCAAACAGCCTATCAGGGTGAGTTCTTGCTCTTAAGCAGTGTTGTTGAATGCCATTTTGTGTTTGTAGCACAGCATTCGGCCTTGTCATTTCAAGGCTTGCGGTCAACTACGCTCATGGCTGACCCCCGCATGTTGCTACAGTATTTTGTTTCATAACGAAACTGTAAAGCGAGGTCACCACAAATTAACTTGAACTAGTTCCCCCCATACATCTTATTTATCTTGTTTTGCTTTAGCTCGCCTCATTCTCTATCATTGCCTCCACTCCACCTGCCGGCTTCCCCACCAACAGCGACGAGGAAGATTCAGTGGCGGCACCAATGCTGGTTAAGGTAAAAAGGGCTTGCTCTTTTATGCTTTTATTTTTCCTCTTTTTATTTGGTTGGGTGGGTCTGTATTTGTCATCGTTGGTGTAAAGGGTTACCTGAGTCGGTGATTTTCAGGTGTACAAACACTGCGGTGTGCATACTCACAGACAGATATGAAAGGCGGAAATATCATGAAACGCTTTGGTCCTCCATATCTTTGCATGTACCCTTTATTTTCGTTTCGCTTCACGTATATCTGACCTGAAATCACGTGGCGTCCCTGCTGCATTGCTCTTATCCCTACGTGTGCTCACTGCGCTTATCCTCGATTTACTTTTTTGTTTCTGTACAGGTGTACTGTAACAAAAGCGCCATCAACTTCTGCGGTGTATTTGACGAGGCGTGCGCTTTCTCAGTGCAGCTTACGGCTGAGGATGTCATCAGCGGCCGCAGAATAGCTTTGCCTGGTAGCAAATTTCATATGTGCTCATCGGCTCAGCTATTTGTTCAAGAAAACCAAACAGGGGCCACTTACACCTACCTGAATCGGCTGAACTTCTACGGAGTGGCGCACAAACGCTATTCATAGAATGCAAAGAAACGCATGTGCCGTCGCTACGGTGGCCCCACTGAACTCACTTTTCCATTTGTTTGGATAGGCAGGAATATCTGGCGCTTGCGTTGCTGTAGAACTTGGTAGAAATGTGAAACATTGGGGGCTGAGAAGGCCCACGCAGGGCCGCCCCATAGTTCATTACTTAGGGGTTTCAGTGTTTCAGGGGAGACTGCTGCAGCGGCAGCAGTTTTAGGTAGCATTGGCTGCAGAGGGGCAGATGCAGGCGCTGCGGCGCCTTCGCCTTTTCTAAACTTCGCAGATAAAGTGCTGTGACGGTTTAGCTATGCATTAGCATGCACAAGGACCCTTTAGCTTTGCGCGTGTAGTGATAAATCTGAGGCAAAGTTGCAAGCTGAGTGGCAGCAGGGCCACCACTGCTCCTTTGGGTTTCTCGAATGGCCTGCCAGCGTGTCGTGAATAAGCAACTAGTCAGCAGCGCAGCAGCAGCCACTGCAGCAGCCGCTGCCATCCTTGTGTTCGCTAGCAGGGATAATGTATGGGGGAGCAGTTGCCGTTGAAGATGTGGAGTAACTCTGCTCCGAGCAGATCCAGTTTGACTCGCGGCGCCTTTGGCGTCAATTAATAAATGAATAGAACTGGCAGATACTGAGTGACTTCGGTGTGAATAAATGAATGGTGTTTACGTTCCTCCTGAGCAGCAGGCAATACGAGAGGCGGAAGTCAACTTGAAACCAAGGACAGAAGGCAGCGATAATAAGATAAAACGCTTTCACTTAAATAAAGTATACATTTCAAATATGGTTTTCTTAGCGCGAGGCTCAATAACTGCCATTTACCTGCAGGTGACGACAGCAGAGGGTCCTGGGCTCCAGTTCAGCGGAAATCGCGCATCTAAGGACAGAACACGAGTATGGGTCTTGTCTCAATGTTGTGTCACATTTCATTGCTATTTAGTCTGATGCTGAAGAACTCATGGGTTTTAGGCTCATTCATCAGTCATTGCCTGCTGCCAACAACTGCCGGCTGCGTCCCGCTGCCTGGAGCCGCTGGCCGCGGGGCGATCAATGCTTGATCTGAGGCAATCCCCGGCAGTTTTCGCGAAATAATTTTCCTTTTCCAAATTTAAAGTCAAGTTTTGTGCAGGTTTCCTCCTTTAAAGCCAAGGAGGGCAGGATGACCCATTCGATTGGGGGGAGAAGGATCGGTCCACGGGCTGACTGGTCGGACCACTGAGACAGCGCAAATGCCGTGAACTCGCTTCAGCGGCAGCCCTTGACAAACTCATGTGGGAGGGAACCTCTTTTTTTACTCGCCTTCCAGCCTCAGATTCCTCCCGTTTACCCTCCGTTGCGTCGCATGGCAGCAGCAGCAGCAGACACGGACCAGCAGAAGCACACAGGCGGCGCTGCAGCTGCCTATTTGCGGTTTTTTGCTGCATCAACTTTGCCGCCTCTCTGCTTCTGCCTGTCGCCTCTGCTCTCCAACTGCCCTCAGCTGAACACCATGGCACAAAGCCCAGGAGCTGTGAGTCACTGGGCTAAGCCCTGCACCTGTTCATGCTAATGTTTGTGTTTGTTCGTGCATTGCCATTCCTGCTTCTGAACAGAATTCATCTTGCACTAAAGAGACATACGAGCTGAAGTACATTTTAGTTGTATCAAGGTCTCTTTGCCACTCGAATAGCTCTGGTGCCACAGGCATCCTTATCCACACACTGCCACACAAAACCGCTACCAATTCAGCCATTCACCCAATGTCTTCTCCTGTATTTCAGATGAAAATGCTCTGCAGCGTTGGACCACTGAGGTTCAGCAAAAGCTGCTCCAGGGGCCACTTCAGAGGTCGCTAAGCCCCAACACCCCCTTGGAAAGCAACAGCACAGCAGCAACAGACAGGCCTCAGGCGTGGGCTTCCAGAGCTGGCCTCCGCTCTCGCAGGAGCCCTTCATCTGCCGCAGATGACTTTTTCAAGTTTTTGGGCGACTCCGATGCGGCTGCTGCGGCAGCTGCTGCTGTTGACGCTGATGCTGCTGAGGAAAGCAGAAGATATAAGTTCGCCGCTCTTCCGCTGAGCGCTGATGTTGCTGTACAGCCCCACACGTTTGTGTCGGGGCCAAGTGTACCGCCAAAGAGCCACGGCAGCAGCGCCGTCGGCGCAGCAGCAGCAGCTGCTGCTGCTGCACCACCTTCTGCACCACTCCCCAGATATGCTGAGCCTACAACTCCCTTCATCGGCGCGTCCGCAGGAGCTGCGAAGCGACGCTGGCTGGGGTACCCCTCCAGCAGCAGCTTAGGCCTTCCATTTGGAAGCGTTTGGAGCGGCCGCCCCTTTGTTTCTGTCCCTACTTCACTAGTGCAAATGGACAAGTACGACAGCAGCGAAAAGAAAACAATCTACCCCGCCCCCGAGCTGGTGGAGGAAGGCTACGGGAAATTGGTGTTGCCCCCTGCCAGACTGTCACAAAGCACCACCCCACCTAACCCCAGCGCTACCCCATCGCCCGGCACCGAGGGGTCCCCCGGGGGAGCCCGCGCGCAGGCCGAAGCAGCAGCAGCAACGGACTTCGCGCCTGGGGACTACACCCCAGACGTGCCGCCGGAGGTGGCTCTAGAGGGCTTGGGGGAGGGGCAGGGGCCTGACGCCTTAGGGGAGGGAGAGGTGGGCTTCGAGGACGAGGGGGCCGTCGGGGAGGACCCATTCGACCCCGCCTACGTCGAGGACTTGCCACTCGCCGAAATGGGCTACGCAGACATGGGCTACATGCCAGGAGCCTACGGTGACCCCTCAATGATGGGGGCACCAGGAGCCATGGGCTACGGGGGAGCCATGGGGGGAGTTGGTGCCTACCCAGTCGGGGCTTCAGGCTATGCAATGGGCGGCTCAGCCTACGGGCTAGACGGCACATACTACGACCCGTACGCCATGGGCGGTGGGATGTACGGGGGTGGCATGTATGGGGGGCCAATGTATGGGGGGGGCATGTACGGGGACTATGATGACCACTATGACCACTACAAAAACCGATACGATGAAGAATACGCTCAGAAGCACGCGAAAGAGGCTGCTAAGGAAGAGGCGAAGCGAAGGAAAGCAGAGGAGGAGAAGGAAAGAAAAGAAAGGGAGAAGGAGCAGAAAAATGCCGAGAAAGAAGAGAAGAAGCGACTAAAGGAGGAAAAAAAAGAGCAAAAGAAAGCTGAAAAGGAAGAGAAAAAAGCGAAGAAAAAGGAGGAGAAGAATGCAAAGGAAGCTGCTGGCGATGAAAAAAAGAAGGACAAAGCAGCGTCCAAAAAGGATGCCAAAGCAGACAAAAAAGACAAAAGTGCCAAAGCAGACACAAAAGACAAAAAGGCAAAGGATAAAGGAGGGGACAAAGCAAAGGACAAAGGGAAAGATAAAAAGGACAAAGGTGGAAAGGCAGCAGATACAAAAACAGATAAAAAGGGCAAAAAAGAAGGAAAGAAAGAAAAGGGGGGCGGCGACAGTAAAGCTGGCGGCAAAGATGCCGCTAAAGATGGCGCCAACAAAGGCAAGGACGAGAAGGCAGGAAAAGATGCCAAAGGAGACTCAGCAAAATCAAAAAAGGGAAAGGACAAGGCGAAAGATAAATCAAGTAAAAGCGCAGATAAAGCAGCAGATAAGACAGAAAAAGCAGCGGGCAAGAAAGATAAAGCAGCAGCAAAGGCAGACAAAGCAGCAGCGAAGAAAGATAAAGCGGAAGGGAAAGCAGACAAGGGAGCAGCCAAAGCAGGAAATGGAAAGGACGGGGCGGCAGCCAAGGGCGGCAGTGACAAAGCACAGAAATCCGCTAAGGGAGATAAAACAGCTGACAAGGCAGCAGCAAAGGAACAGAAAAAAGCGGAGAAGGCAGCAGCAAAGGAACAGAAGAAAACAGACAAGGCAGCAGCCAAGGAACAGAAAACAACGGACAAGGCAGCAGCCAAGGAACAGAAAAAAGCAGACAAGGCAGCGGCCAAGGACCAAAAGAAGGCAGACAAAGCAGCGGCCAAGGACCAAAAGAAGGCAGACAAAGCAGCGGCCAAGGACCAAAAGAAGGCAGACAAAGCAGCGGCCAAGGACCAAAAGAAAGCAGACAAAGCAGCGGCCAAGGACCAAAAGAAAGCAGACAAAGCAGCAGCCAAGGACCAAAAGAAAGCAGACAAGGCAGCAGCGAAGGACCAAAAGAAAGCAGAGAAGGCAGCAGCCAAGGACCAAAAGAAAGCAGACAAAGCAGCAGCCAAGGACCAAAAGAAAGCAGACAAAGCAGCGGCCAAGGACCAAAAGAAAGCAGATAAGGCAGCAGCCAAGAGCCAGAAGAAAGCTGACAAAACAAAGGCGAAACAGGAGAAAGCTGCAGCAAATCAACAAAAGAAGGCAAGCAAGGCAGCTGCAAAACAGGAGAAGGCAGCTGCAAAAAAGCAGAAGAGTGCAGAAAAAGCGGCGAAGAAACAGCAGCAGAAAGCAAACAAGGCAGCAAAGAAGCAGCAGCAGAAAGCAGATAAGGCAGCGACAAAGCAACAAAAGGCAGCCGCAAAACAGCAAAAGGCAGCAGCAAAAAAGCAAAAGGCAGCAGCCAAGAAGAGCAGTAAAAAGACGAAATCAGCGAAAACGTCGAAGAAGTCGACGACGAAGACGAAAACTAAAAAGGCAAAGACAAAGAAGACGAAAACTAAGAAGACAAAGACCGTGAAAAGACGGAGAACAGTAAAGAAAAGGAAGTCAAGGAGAACCAAAAGGAGAAGGTGAGAAAAGAGACGCAAGAGGCACTTGCGCTTTTCTAGATTTCTCCTCAGGAAGTTTGTTGGCAACCAAAAGTAATAAACGCAAAAGGAGAAGACGCAGCAAACAGCATGCTGCACTGTACAGGCCCATGGAGGCAACTGACCGGCATAAAAGTTGTTTTATGGCTAATATCGCCTTTTTATTTGCGCATTTTACAAGTCGCAGAAACGCACTAGATTCCATTCTAGTTTCCCAGCCTATTTACCAAGAATTGGATACTGGGATGCCTCTCCAAAGACATTTCAGTAGTCGCAGCAGCGAAGTGATTGGCTAGTGAAGCTAAGTGCAGACACAATATCTTTCGTAGGCTGCAGTTACCGAGTTATTTAGTAACCTGCAGACAAGAATATTAGTTAATAAGTTCTAGTCAGCTTTCCTCTTCGAAACAAAACTGCCGCAACTAGTGAGCTACAGGAAAGCATGCGTCGGCGCCGCAGTATACAGCAGTCAAATGAATTGAACAGTCTTCACTTGAAATAGGCCCCTCATAAGGCCTTGAAAGCCCCTTGAGCTGTATTAACATACACCTGAGGGTGACGAGTAGTGGAAAAAAGCTTCCGCCACGTCACTCCCACTCAAAGTTTTATTTTAGTTGCAAGCGGCGTTGTGCGAACTGTTCATTGCTGCCTTCTGTCCAGCAGCAGCAGAAGCCGCTGGTGTCTGCGAAGACCCATACTTACGTAAGTACGTTCGAAACAAAAACAAATAAAGGATAGGGAATTACTGCAGGTCACTTCTCTGTAACGCACCCGAGGTGCATGAGTCGTGTTTTACTTTGATCTTTCTGATTCTTTTCTCAATTCTACAGAAAAAAAAACAGTAGCTGCTGCCCCAAACACAGCAAACAACCAAACTACTGCCACCACCGCCTTTGTGCTGAACTTCTTTTCTGGCCTGCTTACCCATGTGTGGGCCTTCCCTGCTTTCTTTTTTCTTTTGGGAAACCATATTGTCGCTGGGTCTATGTATTTATCGTCGAGGCCAAAGGCTCTGAGTTCGCTTCTGAGCAGCTGCTCTTCCCTTGCGGCTGCAGCAGCCGCTGCTGCAGCCGCACCCTCTCCTTCAGTGCTCTCTGCTGCTGCACTATTATTTTTCCTTCGATGTTTTTCATTTTGTTCTTCCTCGCTCAGCCGCCTATTGAAAAGAGCCTTGATATCACGCATGTACGAAGTGTTGTCGCCTCTTTCGTTTCTTTGCTGGCTTCGAGTCTTCCAGAAACGCTCTCTCTCTTTCTGCATTTCTCCCCATTCATGTCTTTTCCTGGAAATTGCTTCGCTTAGCGCACTGTTGTAAGGATATGCAGCAGAGGCTTCTGGCGATCCACGCCGCCACTGCCAGTGATGGGCCGCTGGCTCTGCTGAGGAGCCCACGCTGTCGGAGCGCTGCGGCGTCTGCTGCTGCTGCCGCTGCTGTCCTTGCTGCTGCTGTAGAGCTTTCTCATATGTTTTCCTGAGTTCTATGAATTTGCCTGAAGCATCTGCAGCTGCTGCTGCTCCAGGGGCAGCCGCATCAGGGTGCAGCTGCTTTGCCAGTTCGATGTAACGAATCCTCAACTCGTCTGCTGACGCTGTAGGGGAGAGCCCCAGGGCCTTGAAGGGGCAACTGTGTGCGGATCTTCCACTAGTGCGCAGTGCACTCAGAGGGAAATGAAGGCAAAAAGAACTTGGGGAAAGGCGAAAAGAAGAAGAAATTGAAAAGGGAAACATACGCCGCATCGCAGCCTGAACCTAAAAAGGCCGCAATTAGGGTGGCAGTCCACTCTGCGAGTAGCTTGGATCAACTCTCGACAAAAGCACAAGGGTGCGATTAGGTCAATAGAGTGATTTCAGCAAGAGAACTCACCTCAACGCATTCCAAAACTGCCATAGTGAGGCGGCTCTAGCACTCCCCTTAGCGTTATCCATGTAAATGCGCTTAATTGAACATATTTTTACAAGTTGCCCCCTTGGCAACTTTAATTCAGGTCGATTAGACAGCGCTTATAGTGAACTAGCTGTTTACTCCAGTGACGGGTGGTGACGCCACATGTTCACAGCAGATGTATATTTGGAAACTGTGCTCGAATATAATGACTCTGATGATCTTGCAAGATGCTTATAAACGAATATGTATATAAATGAGTAAGAAATGCCGAGCTGTCCTACTCGGCGGAGTTCCACCATTTAAGTCACTGTATGGGACAGAGCAGAAGGTTGCTCGCCCGTACAGCTAAGTTTTTGGCTAATTGCCATTTCGGCTGCGAAAATTAGCTTTCCTGTAAGAAGACGTCGATGCTGTGTTACAGTTAATGCTATTGGGATGGATCTTGCCGCTACACTGAACAAACGCAGAGCTGGGGCTGGCTGCCCCGACAACGCATGCAAATCGAGCCGTTTGATCTGCGAAATCGTTTGTGAGAATGTATTTTTTTCTCCTTGTTCTCTAAATATAGGAGAACCAACATCGCAGCTGCGGCTGGCAACGGAGGACACGAGCACGATGCGCGCGGTTCGCACAGACCCTAAATCTGCACGGCTGCCTCTTTTTCACGTTTTCTTCGGCTTGAAGTCAGAGAGCTCGGACGTCCTGCAATCTCGGGTCGCAGTGACTGCCTCATTACCAGTCTCCTCGTACCTGAAGCAGCATTACCAGTGCCTTCTTTCTCTAACCAGCAGCAACGATAGCGCAAACAGAGCATTTTGTAGAGCCCGTTCCCACTGATTTCGCCGAACCGGCTAGGGCGCCTGAGTTTAGAATTCCAATTTGTGCCCACTTCAAATCGAAAGCACTGAGATATACTGAATTTTGTAAACTGGATCAAACCAAACGCCACGATGCAATTCGTCAAATCCTCCGTCTACCAGGCGGAGATCACAGAGGGGGGTGTGCGCGAGCGCGAAGTGGACACGCGCTCGAGGGAGGAGGTTGAGCTCCAGGAGAGGCTCAGAAAGCTCCCTGAATTTAGCCGCGGTCAGCTGAACGACTCGCTAGCTGGTGCCGTCCAGCGGAGTGCTGGCTAGCTAGCTACTTAGTTGATTAGTTATCTAGCTGGACGCTACTTTGGCTCTGTCGTAGAGGAGCTCACTCCGACAGTATTTCTGCAACCTCAGTACTCATTCTTGATTCGTGTCGCAGCCTGGGCTTCGGGTTCTTGTGTACCCTCTGTGATTTTGTTTGGTGTCTGCTTGCGTTCTTTGGCGGCCTGTGTTACTTTGCAGATCCCAACTTTAAAAGGTGCGTCTTTCCTTTTTTTGACGTGCTGGCGCACAAGAGGACTTGTTTCTGAGGAAAAAGTAGAGCCGCTGCATGTCCACCAACAACTCTTGTTTTGCCTTGTGTTCCTCATCATATATGGGCAGATGCTAGACCGCACCGCGTGAACTTCATAAATCATTATTAACAGCAGCACGGCGTTGTTGTGTGACTGCACAGCTACGCGGAACAAGTCTTGGAGGGACTGCCGCCGACAACACCGGAGCCTCCACCGCCTACAGAAGGAAAGCCGAACCCAAACCTTCCTCACTCTGTGCGTTTACTTTCCCTTCCCCCTTTTTTTAAAACCAGTGCAGCACTGAGGGATTTTGTACAGTAATAGGACTTGAATTCGTTTCGCTAGTGGCGCGCGTGGTCACACCACAGGTGACAGAGGAAGAGTTCGAGTTTTATGAGGCTCTGCGGGCGCAAGACCGCCGCAAGAAACTGGCAAGGCAGAAGGAGGAAGATGAGATGCGAGATGAGTTTCACAGGGCGAGAGAAGCCTCTCTCAGGCTTTCTGTTAGCTCTGTCGCTTCGTCGAATCGGGACCGCCGCAGCGCGGAGTCTGACACGAGCCAAACCTCCCTGGGGAAGGCTTCCCCGTTTTCAGTTTTGGCAGCGCAAAAGTACAGGTCAAAAATAAGTTCTCCTTTCGGAGAGGGATGCATTTTCGACGTGACAACGATAGCATTCAAAGAGAAACAGAAGAAGCGCGCTCTCGACGTGAGACGTTGCAAGTGTTTGTAATCCAGTGAATCTTTAGTGAATTCACTTGCTATCATCGTTATATGTGGTTGCTTCGTGGCTCGGCTGCGGCCATACATATGGAACGCGTTAAACTTAGAATACATGCACCGGCTGCGTACTTCTTTTCTTTTTCAGGCCCGCCCGTCGTTAAACTTGATTATAAAAAAGCCTAAAACCAACGCAGCAGAGGGCACTGTCTCAAACGAGGCTGAGGGTTCAGCAACTGAGGATGCGAAGAAAGATGGAGACAACGCAGCTGACGGAGGCACATCGAAAAGTGAAGACAAACAGGATGGGGCAAAGGCAGCTGCCGATGAGGAAAAGGGGGATGTCTTCGCGTCACTTTGCGAGGCGTACGGCGATAGCGATGATTCTGGTTGAGATTCGTGGCGCTTTGTTGGCTGATCTCAAACCTATGGCCTTGCACTTAACTGACAGGTGATGAATTTAGCTCCTTTATTTTTGCTCAAGCCCACTGCTTTCTACTGGATTAAGCGCTGACAATTCGCTTTTCAGTTAGATGAGAAAGTTTTGGGCATAGGGAGAACTAGAGGCACACTGAGCTGAAGAGGCTCCGCTCCCTCGTTTGCTCTAGTGAAGCTGACCAGCAGTTTTTGAAGTGAAAGCTTAGTTAAACAGAAGGCTGTTCGTCCGCTGCAGCCTCCATCGATTTGTCGCAGTGGCGGTATTGTTCCTACGGCACGTAGTGGCAAGCGTTTAAACCTCTCAGCAGCTTTTGTATTAAAGATGCCCCGTCTGTTGGACACCATCCTTCGCAGTTAGTGCCGTGTGGCTTTAGCACTGTTATAGTCGAAATCTGGATTCAGTAGTTGTTAGGAATTTGTTCGTGGGGAGCGTAGGCCACCAGCGGGAGTGACGGTTACTCTCAACGTGATAAAAAGGGCACCAATTTGCAACCCAAAGTCTTATAAGAATGTATTTGGCAGCCCAGTGCTCTAAATGGCGCTGGCAGGCCTACTTGACCTTCAGGACGCCGTAGACAGCATAGCGCAGCCCTCGGTTATCTCATGCGTTATTTTTCTCCTTTCCTATCACTTGAAAGAGAACCATAGAAGCTTTGTCATTGCAAATTCCCGTCGCACTGTTGCACAAAGCAATGCCGGGTGATAGTTGTACAGCGTTTTCGCAAGCCCACACACCTTACTGGAGACTTTGTAGTGACCTGGAAAATTCAGCAGTTGCAATCAGTGGAAAACTGGGAACACGCATCTAGTCAGCATGCTTGAATGTTTTCAGCCACAACAAAGAGAAAGGCTTTTGTTATGTCTTTAGAGTTGGTCCACTAGTGAGGGCCAGTTCGTGCAACTGCCAGACCAACCGTGCAAGTTGAACGTATGGCGCGGTCATCGGCCATGAACCCTTGCACACCCTCCTCGTAGGCCTAAAACCAAATGTTTTGCAGGAGCTCAATATCTGGAAAGCTGAATGCACAAGCACGGGCTGGTGTTTTTGGCTAAAGCCCGCTTCTGTGTTACGGGCTTGACAACGGGCACGGAACGGTACCGGTGGCTGTCTGGGCGATGTCTCGGAGTGGTGGTTGAGGCTGCCTGGGGCTTAATTTTGCAAAGATATTGTCATGCTAAAATAAACATAGTAAATTAAGGATAAAAAGGCCTAAAGCTTCCACAGATTCCTCCACGCACCTCCAGTGACGCGTCATTTCCGCCTCCTAATGAACAGTCAGAACCTGCTACTAGCGGGAAATCAACGCCACTTACGGCGAATCACCAACCAAAAAGGCAATGAGACGAAACCCTACTTATTTCAAAAGATCTGAGGTGATCCTTCACTTATTTGATCGATGACACATTTAACGCCATGAGGTCGCCGCCTACGGGAGAGCCCGCGTGGCATTTTCGAAACCGTCCTCTAATCTGTGCCCTTGAGGCTCATTCGCCCTAATTGATCTGCTCCTGTCTAGTAAGAGCTGTTTTCTCGATTCTGTCACAATTTAGTGTCCTCTCAAGCCCGAAGGCACCAAAGGATTGCTGCTGGTCACGGAGGAAGGGCGGAAGAGGGCAATGATGAAGGACTTTGAAGTAAGCCCGTTCGACCTAGAGCCGGGCGGGTCTACCAATACTTCAAGCGAGCTATTGCCTAATGCAGATAAGGCCTCGCTGAAGCCTCAACCCTGCTGGGGCTTCTCGACCGGCTCCCACCAGTCGGCGGTGATGGTCCCCTCATTCTGTCGCTCCTCGCTGAGGCTGGAATCAGTTGAGGATTACTTGCTAGTTTACTGCGTTGGTTCCTGGTGTGTCGTTCGCGGCCCAGCAGCCTACATGCTAGAGTCTAGCAAGGCTGTTAATCTGCTGCCTAAAGTTGCCCAGCGCGCTCCGCTCCCTGAGTCAAAACCCACCCAAAGAGAGCTAAGCGAATGGCTCCGGCCATCTTCAGGATTTCCCACACCCTTAGATCGCCCGCTGGGTGGTCAGCCATCTTCGCCGTACACTGAACGGGTATTCTCCCGGCATTCCAACAAGGTTAACCTCCTAGTATACTCCCACGCGCTGAAACTATGCCTTTCTTGTGAGCCGACTCTACCGTAACGTCTATTTAATCTGTTTTTCGAGGCGATTTGGCTTAGCATAGAGAAAAACTTTGAGTTGACGCAAGTTGAGCGAACCAGTCTGAGTGTGGCTTGCATGTAAGGATATTTGCATGTACTGTGTGCCTCAGCGGAGCAACTCAGTTCTACAAGAGGGTCCGGCACTATGCCTCTCTGCCGCCTTTGGTCGCCGCACACCCTGAGAGAGGTGGCGTTGGTGCAGGTGCCATCATGGCACGAGGTTGCTGCTGCGCACTTCAGCCACGATGGAAGCCTCCTGTTCCTGCTGCTAGCAGACCCGCAACACTCTCTTGCAGTTTATTTTCACGTCACTTTGGCCCTTCAAGGCCAGTTAGGCGAATATGTTAGCACGCATTCCCCCTCAGGGTTGCCACTGCTGCATGTGACACATGTGACTCCCTGCACCCGCTCTTTGTTGAATGGCCTCACGCTCGAGCCGACACCGAAAACAGCCCGACAGAGTCATTTCAAACGCGGGCGCAGTCAGTGGTGCTGGGCAAAAAGCGGATCGTTGTGGTCTACGAATAAGCGGGGCGAAATTCTGGCTGAGAACGCAACGAAGTATGGCAGCAATGAAGGCCTCCACATCCGTCTTGCAACATTTGGCTTGGGGCACCTGCGTGTCTGGAACATCAACAGCGAACGCTTCTCCCAGCCGCCATCCTACAAGAGTTTGTGCATTTCCCGACTGGGTGGCGACGGAGTGCAGAACGGGCAGCCTGAAGCGACGGCTTGTGCGTTTTTGGCTTCTGGAGATATCATTACGGCTCTTGCTGACCGCCGCATTGTTGTGTTTCGAGGGTTGGCGCCACTGCGCTCCGTTTCTCTGCCATCTTTCTGCAGCAGAGTGGTATTCTTGCAGCCTGTGCAGAGGAGCTTGCTGCTGCTGGTGGCTCAGGAGGGTCTCGTTCAGTTGCTGCCTCTCACTTCCTTGACTTCCACTGGAAGTGGTTTTCAAGCCCTATCTGGGCGCAGTGCGGGGGCGAAAACTGAGCTGCCCAAGTCTGTGGAAAAGCTTACCACACGAACAAGAACTCCGCCTGCATCCTGCCTCCCGCAGACCGCCACAGTCAACCAGCCAGCCCGCTGCCGCTCGCAGTCGGATTCATATTCGTTGACTTCCAGGACAATTTCGCGGTGCCGATCGCCTGCGCCGAAGTCCACCGCCACAACTCCCCCTTTTGCAACAGGATCAGTGCATGCTCCGAGGCGAACGCCTCGCAGCACATACGGCGACTCCGTCGGCCGCTGGTACTCAGGCAGTCGGCGTCGGTCGCGCCCTTTGAGTGCAGCCGGCAGCAGAGGGAAAACTCAGCGCCCAGAGAAGTCTTCTCTTCACCGCTCTCCCTCAGCAGTCAGTCGAACGAGCACTCGCAGCAGCGTCGGCAGAAATGCCCAGAAAACAGACGTGCAGCAGCAGCAGCAGCAGCAGCAGCAGCGCCTGCAGGGGCGTCACAAATACCCTTCCCACGGCTACGCCGCAATGTCATCATTGCGTGAGCTGCACCCCAAGCGATGCTTGAATATCCAGCAGGTGGCCTTGAGACATATTAAAAGTGGACGAACAGACGCAGCGTCTGCGTGGCTGCCACTGCACAGTTCGCAAGTTGCTGCGGTGTACTGGAGCGAGCCACTTCTGTTGCTTTGCACGAGGACGCAAGTCTTGGTAATGGATGCTCTACAGCTTTCAGCGGAAACCTCTCTTGTCTTACAGGAAAGGCCCCTGGGAAGCCTCGACGTCTCAGCAGTTCTGCCTCTTCCGAGCTCGCCAGCTGTTGCTCTTGGTTACTCTCAACAGACCGCTGGCTGCGCCCACCCACCAGCAGCGCCTTCTCGGCAACTGCAAGAGGGCTGTCCTTGCCTTGTTGTCATGGGGGGCCGATGTTGTGTGGGGGGAGAGCTTCGCCTGTGGGACCTTCGTTCGCCTAACCTGTCGAGTAAGGGACTTCATGACCACTAACTGAGTCGCGACCTGCCTGCAGTACAGTAGTGTGGTAATTCAAAGAAACATATGTGGAAGTGCGTGTGTATCTCCATACATTTGTTGCATACATATTGCATAGCCAAATAAATGCTAAAGCCTTGTGCAACATTGAAGTCCTGTGTTCAACCGTCGAGCTATGCGCTTGGGATTCAGGGGTGGACTCACAGTAATTTCTCTCTCTGTTGCAGCTCTTCCGCTTTACTTTAAGTCCGCTGTAACAGCTGTAGCTGCGACCGTCATAGAGGAGGGAAGCCACGGCCTTGTGGCAGTGGGCACGGAGGATGGCGGGGTGGTCTTGCTCACGCTCGAACAAAACAACGCAGGGGCCCTCGAGCTGCCTTCAGTCGCACTTGATCGCCAAGTCACGCCTCGTGAGCAGCATTTTGCGCATGAGTACAGACTGTTTTGAACACTTTCGCGGGAATTTGTTGCTTTACTGAGATCTACTTCCCTCCTGGGAGATGCGTTGATGGAGACGCACTGATAAGAGTTTCTTGTCGCCTCTCAGGTCCCATTTCTGCTTTGGGGCTTGACAGAGGAGGAGGCGTCTTGGCAGTTGCGAGTACGGCAGGCCAAGTCACCTGCTTTCGCCTCACCCCTATTTTCCGCAGAGCTGAAGGGGAACTGACGGACTCGACATTCGCCGGGAGCTTGCTGGGAAGTCGAGTCGGTTGTGTTGATTCACTCTTGCAAGACGCTAGGAGAATTCCTTTCCTTGTTGAGTTGGAGCTGCTCACGACGCTGCATGTTCCTTTTTCCACAGCGCCACGACTTATCGAGTTTACGCATTCCCCACAGCATCCGGTATGGTGGAACACTAGCACTTTGTTGCAAACTCAGTCATGGCACCTGTCGTGCTTCTTTCTGAAAATGCACTATTCCACCTGCTAGTGACGAGTAAGTGAGGAGCCCTTCCGTAAAACACTGCACCCTTGGTTGGCGCGCATGCGTTACAGGGCCACGTTTTGGTCGCCGGTCCAAATTCTCAGCTCAGCGTCTTCTCCGTACCGGACGGCCGTCTCCTCGTCAATTCTTTGACGTCCGTGAGTTTGCTATGACATCGCAGCAACCACTGAAGAAATGTGCACGGGTGTTTTCTTCGCCCACACTTCACGCCACTGAATGAATGACAAAAGACACTGCTTGTTTCCCTTCCAGGATACGAAAGTGTTGGACTCATTTCTTCCACTGTCCCTGCCGGTTCCCACCATCGTTGGACCCGAAGCAGCCTCGCATTCTTCTGGCGACTTGCTCAATAGGCTGCTTAGTGGGACGCTTGCCAGAGGAAATGTAGGCAGGCTGAATGTTCACAGTTTCTAGATAGCTGCGTACACCCACGTGCTGCCGCGATTGTTCCACGTAGTATCATGTACAGCTCTAGCCGCGACAAATGTAACGCTTGTTGATTTCTACAGGATAGTGTGAATCGGTAAAGTGTGACTGCTTCCGCTATGGCAACCATGCTGGTGCACACAGCATTTTTTGGTCGTGCCCAATGGTACTTTAATCTGTTTGCGCTTTGCCCGCAGAGAAGCCAAAAAGTGTTGCCTGCTCCAATGCTACTGACAGCCTGCATGGGCTTCAGCAGACTGTGTTTAGTATACGAACGTGAACGGCACATTCTGCTAGGAATGGAAGTGCCGAGCTTTTCGGCAGAACAGCAATCAGAGCCACAACAAATGTGCAACCAAATTCAAAAGACTACGAGCCGTGACTCTGCAAACATTAGATCTGGGCCACCCGACTGCGTTTCGCAACAAAAGTCTCATCAAACTCCTCGGTTTCATAGAGGCGCCGGGCTTGCGAGTCTGTATCGCGACCGCGAAGGCTTTGCAGAGTTGGAATCGACTGACGCCACTTCCTCGGGAAGCTTTTCGAAAATGAGACACTCTCTGGCTGGCCGGCTCAGTGACGCGTTGTCCGATCCAGAAATGACGAAAACATCCTCGGCAGCAATCGTTCAATTTTCCACTGCAAAGCTCCCTCATGCCTCCGCACCAAGCGGTCTGTTGTGTTACACGTGCGTAGATCCATGTAATGCAGCCTCGACTTTGCAAAACATAGGAAAGCGTAGCCTGTCAGTTCGTGTAATCTCCCTTGCAACGGACGGATATATCTTAATGTGGAGCTACAAATTTTCTTACTGCACACCAGAATTAGTAGGAAGCCATGGGCCATCTGAAAACGTGGAACTCGCGAAGCCTGTGCAGACGAAGAACCTTCATGTAGTGGGAAACGACCAGCCGATCCAGTCTTGTTGCTTCGACAAGAAGGGAAACGCCTGCAATTCAAACGCTACATGCTTCACAGATTATGCCCAAAGCGACAATGCCACTCTCCCGGCCCTGCAAAAGTATCCTACTGACCCGATCAACTCCATTGTAGGGCCTTCATCTGGCTCCTTTTGTGGAAATGGCACATACGAAGACCATACAGGAGACATTCAAGCATTGGGCAGGGCAGCATGTAACACGACGGGCCCTGCAAGATCCCGTGACCTCAGCCAGGAGCGTGCGTGAGTCACTTAATATGGCCCCAAAAAGCTGTCGAGTAGCACTGCCAATACAGGCGTCCCGCGCTTCAGGTGAATAAGCTCTTTTCTAATTATGAGACCTGCTGTGTTTTATGAACAGATTGCGGCCAAGTAGCCTTCCTCCTTCCCAAGTACGACACAGCTGTACTGGTGGCATTTTCCAGTGGGCTACTATGATCACGTGGGCCTTGTATGACGGTAGTGAGGCAGAAAAATTGCTTTTTAATCCAAAGCAGCCGGCAGCATTGAGGCTTTTATGTTAGTGCGCGTTTCAGCACGATGGTTACAACTCATCGCACGTAATCAACAAAGCGACAGGACAAGAGAAACTCCAGGAGAAGCCTGCTATATTCTCTATGAAAGACACTTCGCATAGATTCCTCTACCGCGCCGCAGAACACCAAAATTCCTTCGAAGTCGAAGTTGTGCTGCCAGGTAACACTGTTATAAAAGGATGAAGGTGGCTTTTGCTCGTGGAATAACTAGCTTAGCGCCATGTACTGAGTGTATTCATTGGAAGCCAGAAGATTTGCATCCCAAAATATCAAGTTCAATTTCTTAGAAGACACAATGCCCAACAATGCTAAACTGACTGCACCGGAGGCTTCGTTAAATGAAACGTGCTACAGTCTTACACATTTTATCTGGATGTCATCACTGGTTGGCTGATCCAGGAGGAGTCGTAGAGAATGTTCGTCGTGATTTCGCCACGAATACTTTGCTTTTTTCTGGTCGCCTAATTAGTGACCCAACGTGGAGAATCCAACTGCCAGGTAAACGTCTAGCGGGGTATTCTGCCGGCCAGCTCGAAACTCCACGGAATGTTGCGCTGCATCAACAAAATTACACGTCCGAAGAAGCCACAGTCTCCGTATTTTTTGCTCAGGAGACTCTACTACCTGTCGTCTACGACTGCGCGTTCCCTTAAAATTCCGCATTTCGTCGAATGCCGTGACCATCGACCAAAACTTGGCGAACGGACACATCTATGTGTCTATTCAAAAATGAGCTGTGCCAAAGAACTATCTAGGCCACTTTTGAATGCGTTTCAAACAACCGTATTTTCGATTACTATTCTGATTGCAACAGTAAGAGTGCTCTTTTCCGCGTGCTGCAAAAAGTATCTGCATACGTTTTTGTATCGCACTGTTTACGCGGGTCCATGTCAGCTGGATTCAAAAAGAATTGTTTCGGCATTATTGCAAACTCCTCCCAGTTATATTCAATAACTACGCGCTTTCCGCGCCTCGGGATGCACAACATAGTGCCAATCTGCGCTCGTTCAGAGCCATTTCGCCGGCGGTCATGTCGCTGTGCCACATCTCCGTCTTGGAGTTCAGTAGCCCTGAAGAAGAAATTAAACACTTTCCACCAGTGGTTATGTGTACTTGGGTCTTACCGTTGATGCGTGCCGCATGAATGCCTCCTTGATATAATTCTTGGAGCGAGCAAAGGTGAGCCGCGGGCTCGCCACACATGTTGGAGTTCACGGCGAAATCATATCCGCAAGAATCACAGCCTGTGAGTTAAAAAACTATTCGCTCTGAATTTGTAATGGCTTTTGTGTTGTCTTACCGAGAGATACAAATTCAGAGTCGGGTACGCCTGGAAGAGCAACGTTCTTGTAACTGTTTTGACGTTTCCCGCGCGAATGTACATACCAGTCAAGGCAGGCAGAGTCATAGCAGAGATCTCATTGTCCTAGAGATGTTTATGAGTACGTGGTGAAGATACTGGGAACGACAAATTTTCGCTTACAGGAAGCCCTCGAGTGTATACGCGGAAGTCATCAATGTAGCCCTTTGAGTAATATGATAGAGCGCACAAGAAGCTTTCAGCCTTGGGAAGCTTAAGTTACCTCAAACCCAGGGTTCTCAATGGAGGCTCCAACGACAATATCTTCGGTATTTGGGAGGACTTTTCCCCGGAGGAACTGTAATTCACGCGTAGGACACGTGCTGCCAATCGTGATCACACTGGCTTCACTCACCACTTCGCTGTCCTTCATGCCCTGAGAAAAATTCACCGACGATTTGCACAGAACACTAGATTGCGAAATGTATCGAAATTCTTACATTCAGAAACAACTTCAGCCTGTTTTCACTGGCGGAAACTGCAAGGAAAAAGGTTGGAGAAACCAGTAGAATTTGGCTTGTTGAGACAAGCCTGTACCTGCAACGTGAGTCCAGCGTCTCATTGGAAGGCTTCCCGTGGAGGCCATTCCCTCGGAGCCACTGTCTTCAGTTGTTACACGAACGGAAAGGCGGCGACTATCTGGGTAGAGTAGGAGAGAGGGCGTCTGCGACATCTCGCTCCTACGCTCACAAGTAATACAGTGCCCCTCAAGATTGTGCAGTGAAACTCAGCCTACCCCTTTGAAACAATGTTGCGGAAGAGGCCATTCGAATCGCTCAGCAAGTACATCCAGAATGAGCTGAAGGCGAAGTATGAACGTGTTTATTTGCAAATGAAATCGTGCTTTGGCTCACATGGTGAAGTCTTGGGACTCCAGTGACGGGCTCGACTTGATTTTGCTGCTTGCACCCTTTACAAATGCAGCGCTGGCGCCGCGTCCTAAAGGATAACATTGACAATATTTTGTTAAATGCGAAAAGGAACAGTGATCTACACACCATTGTGCGGTGGGCCCGCCCGTGGAGTCCTGTGCATGTGGTTTCCGTTCCCGCTTTGGTCTGCGGAATAAAGGTGGTCGAATGTCAGCCAGGCTCCAAGACCTTCTGGGACGGAGTTCCCAGTCATGACTTGTTCCGTCCCGGCTGTGGAACACTGACATTAGCGAAACTCAGTTGGCGGTGTGATTAGCGAAAGCCTTACCGAAACAAAGGGAGTTAGGCACGGAGAAGCAGCTTTGGGTGTACTTTCCGGCAAAGTTCAAGGTAGTCTTGACCCCATTGGCTATATCCTCAAGAGAGGCTGCCTCCTTGGGCACTGCAGTTTCTTCTGCAGAAACTCCGGTGGCATAGACGCATCCGCCTAGAAAAACGGGGGCAAGGAACTTCATCATAACGAGCATGTACTCTGCAGATGAAGCGATTTGGAGTCAAAATAATGTCAGCCTTCGCGTGCCGAACTTTGCAAAATGAAACCCGAAGGAACCGTCGTGAATTGCAGATTGGGTTTCTGGGGTGTATCGACGCCTCCGCGTTCGCCGATTATGAAGACCTGCTCACTCGAACTTCGTCCCATTTTTTTCCTAGATAAAAAAAAACCGCCACGAATTAGAATTTGCATGAAATTTTGAGTTGCTAAAAGCTGCAGCTCTTTAATCGGGCAACAGACACTCATCCGTATTCCCGGAACAAGCAACTGCATCTGCAACAACAATGTAGTCAAACAAACAGTATTCGGCCCTCTCTCCAATGGAAACCAGGTGCTGACATAAAGAAGACTCTTCGAGTTAAGTTGCAGATGGAGCTGTTCTTTCAATATAGTGCAGTTTCGTATTCCTGTAACCTTGTGACAAGACCCGTGCGCAGTTCAATAATGCACACAACTGATCATTGATCCATAGCGCAACAAGATACTCAAGCCCGCTTCTACATAATTAACCGCAGCTCTTGAGTTGGTGCATATGTATCGATCATATCTTGTGGTCCTTTTTGGGGCCGCTTCAACACGAAAGCCTCAAGTCGCTGGTGGTTGCTGATCGGCGCTCTGTCTCCCACTGCACAGTAGGTCAATACCTGTTCCCTGTGATATCCAGCGACTTTCAGCAAACGCAATATTATGCAATATTATAGACTCTCCATGGAATGCGCTCGATCGTGTCACGTGAAACAGCGAGGTGACCATGCAAGCCATGGTGCAAAGGAGTCACCAGCGCACCGTACCACTGCCCCACAGCGACCATAACTTTGGTCATCTTGCAAAATCCCACTAGAGTCATTTAATGAAAGTGGGAGCGTCTGCTGCACGTGATCCTACCAATATTTCAAATGTTCCTCTATTCCGCTAGCTGAGTTGAGCAGCGCCTCCCTACCAAATGCTAGGAACATCAACTATGGTCAGTCTAGCACTGCAGTATGAAATTAGGGTACAACAAAGAAAAAAGAAAAATTTTTGTCACATCGGTCCAAAAATTTACCACACCAGCCACCTGACTCTCCGGAGGCCCGAGAACGCCTCGGAAGAACAGCGTTTCGCCGAGCTGGTCCTGTTAATCATCTGCAGAGGTACCAGTTGTCACCAACCACGCAAGAAGCCAGTCAACTGCCACAATGTAGCAGACGTGCGTGTGTCTGCAAGCCTCGCTGCGGAGAGCTCACTGAAGCTGAGATGCACCCACAACTACCGCCCAGGCCTTCCGAGCATCGGCTCGGCAGTTGTGCACATCGCCAGGTGGCGAGGCGCTGTTGCACATGTTCCACTGAAGGGAAGGAAAACCCTCCCCATGTTGCAGCGGCCCCAGCACTGCAGCGCAGGCGCAATGTGCCATCCCACGAGGAGGTGGCGGGAGGCGCGCGGAGCTGAGCCCCCCGTTTGCTTCAAGAGAGAAGTGCCACCGGGTGAAACTTGAATAAAACCCGCCCCTGCGGCTGCGGGGCCGCGGCCGCCGCTGGCTGCGCCCTCCCCAAGACAAGTATTGCAGCTGTCCACTTAAAACTGGAAGGTGGCCGCAGCAGGGCCCCCGAAGCCTCTCCAGCTCAAACCAATTGAAAGGCAGCCCGCCGATTACCTGGTAAAGACCCGCACTACGCGGGGACGTCGAGGGCGCCTCCCGCAGCAGCGGGCGGCTGCTGCTGCCGCGGGTGCTGCGGAGCAGCAGCAGCCGCGGGGGTGCCCGCCTGTTCAGCTTCGGACTTGAGGCTGGCGAGTCTGGGCTGCCCGGCGGGGCCCCCGGCGTCGCTCGCGAGCGGCGGCGCGTCCCCCTTGTTGAGGTAGCGCGAGAGCAGCACGAGCTGCTGAATGTGCATTGCAAGGATCGACTGCATGAGCGCCAGCTGCTGCTGCGCGGCCAGCTGGCTGGGGAGCTTCAGCTCCTCCAGACACGGAGCCACGATCATCAGCGAGGGCTGCAGCTCCGCAGTGGAGGTCGCGTTGCCCACGAGGTTGGTGTGCATCAGCAGCGTCTGGTCCATGAGCCGCTTCGCCGTGGTGGCTGCTGCGAGTTCGACTGCGGAGCTCGGCGCCGCCGCTGCTGCTGCTGCTGCAGCAACAGCGGAGCTCGCCGCGGCCTTCGCCGTCAGGTACTGCGCCAGCACGTTGTTCCGCAGGTCCTCCAAAATAAACAAAATGGCTTCCTTGTACAGACAAACCACTGTTCGGTCGTCTCGGGTGGAGTTCTGGCCCGCGCAGGGCGTTGCTGCTTTCCCTTTGCGGCTTTCCCCGCTCGCCTGGTTCGCCACGGCTGCTGCTGCGGAGGCCAGCACTGCAGCAACGCACTCCGAGTGGTCCGTCTTCAGCTGGTGCTTCGCGCTGCTGCTGCTGCTGCCGGGCGAGCCGTGGAGCCCTGCGGCGATCAGGTGCGCCGGGTTTCCGGTGGCCGTCACTGCAGCAGCAGCAGTCGTGGCCTGCTGCCGGAAGTGCACGGCTCTTTTGTAGGCTTCGACGCAGCTTTCGAAGAACTTGTCGTAAAAGTAACGCCGGTATCCCTTCCAGTAAACTGCCCACCGCTTCTTCGTGTTGTCCCGAGACACCCCGCGCACAATCGGGTACAGCCGCTGGCTGCTCGCCTCCTCCTTTCCCGCCGCTTCGCACACGCTGTAGTACCCCAAAGGGCCTCGAAATGCAGAAGGGCCCAGGGCCTCTTCGTTTACGAAAGGATCGCCTCCGGCTACCCGCTCGATCAGCTGCAGCTCCGCGAGGTAGGAAGGCGAAGAGGGGTTCGACGGCGACTCCGCCGCCGCGGCTCCCCCCGACTCCGGACACGTTTGCTGCTTCGGCTTCCGCTCCGCGAGGGTTCCGGCTGCTGCTGCAGCAGCAGCAGCAGAAGCTGCGGGGCCGCCTTCCGCAGGATCGCCTTCGCCGTCGCGGCCTCCGCCCGCCAGCGACGCCGCAAGCAGCCGCAGCTCGCTGCTGCCGCTGCTGCTGCTCACGCTGGCGAAGCTGCTGCGGCGCTGGTCCAACAAATGCATTTCTATTATGCGCCGCTTGTAGGCGCGGGTTTCCTCGCTCCCGTCGTCCTCAGCTCCCGGGCTGCAGTTGCTGGTCCGGCGGCTGTTGATGTTGCTGTTGCACGCAGTGCTGTTCGCGCTCGTCAGCAGCCGCTTCCCGTTCTCCTGCTTCTCCCCCAAACCGTTCAGCTGCTGGTGGTGCTGCAGCAGCGCAACGAGCTCCGCAGACAGCGCGGGCAGCCGCCCGGCCAGCTCCCCCGCGCCGCGCGCGGCGGCCGCCTGATCCGCGCTGTTCAAGTCGAAGTCGACGCAGCCGCTCAACTGACATTCTTGAATGAGTCGGGAAAACAAAGAAGTGCTCACTGTGTCCTCTCCCTGCAGCTCCGTCTTGCTTGCTGCAGCTTCGCATTCACCTGCGCCGCCGCCCGACGGGTGGCTGGCTTCTTTGCTGTTGGCAGCAGCAGCGCCGCTGAACATGCCTCCGTTCGCTGCTGTGAACTCGGGGCGTTCTGTGGCGGCGAACTCCGCCAGCAAACTTTGAAGTTCCGAAAAGTCCTGGCCGCCCCCCCAGCGGCGCTGCTGCTGCTGCTGCTGCTGCTGCTGCTGCAGCGGCTGCTCCCCCGCGCCTCTTGAAGCCGCCTCGGCTGCGGCGGCCGCCGCCTCCGGCCTGCCCCCCGCGGGCTGCGCGCCGCCGCGGGCTGCGAAAGACAGCGCCTGCGCAGCACTGGGCCTGCTGCTTGCGCCCAAGGAAAGCGTGGAAGAGGCGGGTTTCGGGGCTTCGCTGCGGCTGCTGCTGCTGGAGGAAGTGGTTTGCAGCCCCTCCCGCAGACCCGAGAGATCCACTGCTGAAGAAAGCATTGCTGCAGTGTCTGCGGAGGAAAAGGAGGGCTGCTGCTGCTGCCGGCCTTCGCCCTGCTGCTGCTGCGAGGCGCGCCGCGCCCTGTGCCGCTCGTACGCCGCCGCGAAGTCCTCGGGGGAAATTGTGTTGCTGCTGCTGAGCCCGTCTCCCTCCGCAGGCTGCTGGGCCGGCCGGCTCCACTCCAAAGCCTCCTTATTTGCTGCAGCTTCCTCGGCCGGCGGAACGCTCTGCGCAGTCCGCGTGCGGGCGCTCATGACTCGCCTGCTGAGTTCAAGTATTGCGAGGTCTCGAGCCAGTCGCTCCTCCCGCATTTCCGCAGCTGCTGCGGCGGGCTCGCGTCGCTTGGACTTGCACAGCGGCGCACTTCCAGCAGCGACCATGTTGCCGCGTCGCGGAAACTTGAATTGCTGCGCCGCCTCGGACGCGGAGCTGCGAGGGCGCGCGGGGCTGCGCGGCGGCGGGAAACACCCAAATCCCTGCAAAGTCTACTTTGGAAACAATCCTGAAAACGCGCTGAAAAGAATCCACTGATACAAACAAATCACCGCTGGACTGGGCGACACGGTGGCGACGCGGCTGCTGCTCCCGGTCAGGTGAACGCCGTCTTGGGAGTGAGCGTCCACCACTAGCCAGAGTCCTCCCGCGTTCGAGGGACTACACCCTCGAGATCCCTTGAAAATTTTTCGCTACACATCCACAAATGCTCTCCTCGTCTTCCTTCCCCCTTTGCGCTGGCTCGCCCGAACGACCGCCGCGGCGCTGCACAGGCCGCGTCTCTCGAAGAAAATGCGGCGCAAGCAGCTCTTAATTGCAGAAAACGGAATTTAAGATTGTTGGAAGGCCCCCAAGCTTACCCGACGGCGCTGGACACCGCTACGAGTGACCTGGACCTGACCGCTTGGCGCAGTCGTGTGCTGAGGCCAGGAAGGCAACCGCTGCTGCCCGCGAGCTGGCTCTGCACTATAAAACTAGAAAGCTCAAGACAATGTTCCCTTAGCATATGGAGAAGGATTCGCGGAGCTGGGCATGCGAAGATGTGGCCGGTCGCCGATCACCACCAGCTGACCCACCGTGAGCGAGTGCTAGGCGGGTGCAGCCAGCCGAAGCAATTTTGGGCAGCACGCCAAATGGATCCTTCGGGCTTCCTCGTTGGCTTTCTAAATAAGAGCAAATCAACAGTTAAGCAAACCGGCGTCTCCAGCTGGGAAACGCGCTACGCACACCTCCGCAGCAGCCCATCGGCATGGCGAGGTGGCTGAGGAATCCTTCTGCGGTAGGAACGACCGCTCTTGCAGATCGCCTTCCGCCGCACCTTCTCGCACAGGCTTATTGTGTCTGTGTCCCACTCTGAAAACAGTTGTTCGATTTTGCGGAATAAAACAGAGAGAAAAAACGAGTGAACCACAGGCGCCTGACGGTGTGCGATGCGACGCAGGCGCAGAGCTGCTGCGGCGGGTGAACGAAGGCTGCCTCCACAACGAGCGTCCACACGTTCCCTCAGTAAGATTTCCGGGATCTTTGCATGACAATCATTCAGTAGTAAGTTTAAATCAATATAGAAGAAAGTTTAAGACGAACTGCTCGTGAATACATCGACGCCGCGGTGCCGTTGACCAAGTTAGCGAGCTCACCCGGGAGGGAGTGCAGGAGGTTTGGGTAGCCAAGTCTGTTTGCGGCCCTAGACACCGGCCTCACGAGCTTTGAAAACTATTAGACAGTTGTTTAAGAGTCATTTATGCTTCAGTTATTGCTGTCTTTCGAACAGTCGCACATTAACCTGAGAACGAGCCCCGTGGCTCCTTTCCTTCGCTTGTTCTGAAATGTCCAGCTGTGCACAGCCGTGCAAGTTTCCAGCGGACGTTCCTGGAAAGCTGTCATTTTTCTTGGTGCATTTTCCTTTATGTTCAACACTATGTCACTGAAGACTTCACAAGGTTCATTTTACGCAATAAATCCACAAAAGAAGTCGAGAGTCCCGCGACACTTTGAGTGTGTTTCGCGCGCGTCGGCCGATGCAGTGGCTTGCCGCTTGCCGGGAGGAGAGTAGCCACCTCTGTATCCGACTGTTTATTTGCAAAGGTTTGCTGCTTTCCAAAGAAAGCAGACAATTGGGACAGGTTTTTGCAGCTGTCTTACGCACGAAGCCCGCACAACTAGCTGTGGAGGCCGAATTTCACTGGTTTCTGCAATGAGGTGGCCAGGTTGACAGCCTTGTCTGGCTATAAAATGTGCAGAAGTTTGGCTTTGCTGGTCATAAGAGTCCTCCACGGACCTTGAAGGCCATGCAGCATTGGCCAGCACAAGCTTAACAACTTCACAATCACTTGATCGCGGCATTGCGAAACGAGCGGCCGCAAGGCCATATTCGGTGACAGGCTCGGAAAATGCATTAATGAGATTCACGAGTAGCTAGGCGAAAAGAATTGTTTGTGACAGACCGGCTGCCGCAAATAGCAATATGGTTCAAGTGCACAGCTTGTCACAACTCTTCAGACTTAGCGAGAAAAAGCTGCATAAAATGGAAACTTCAGGGCGTAAGCAGGACTTATGAAGTGTAAGAGGGGCACTCTTAGCAAATTAGAGAAAGAGTGAATCCCAGGGAATGTCTGTGGCTGAAGCAGATGAGACATTCGGCTAAAAAAGTAACCAACGCCACTGACGTTCGCATTTGCTTCTTTCCACTTTCCGCTTTCGACGTAGAGAATGAGGCAAAGGGAATATAAAGAAACATTTGACTGTTTTCGATGCAGTCGAAAACGTCTTTGCCTTCTGTTTGTATCTTTACAAAAAGGCGCCTTTCAGTTATTTTCCTCACCTCGTCGCATGTAAGCCATACATCTTTCTTGCAGCTTTCCAGTATTTCTCTCTGTATACTACATAAACATAAGTACATACTTTCAACAGTTTTAAGAGACCTAGAAGCCTACGGAAAGCTTGGACTTAGCCTTCAGAAAGCAACTAGGAAGCCCCCATTAGCTAGTTCAAAGCTCGCAGAGAAGCCCCATAAGAAGCAACAAATTACTTTGTTTTCCTCATACAGCGTCTCCTAGAGATTGAATAAATGCTAGAAAACAACGCTTTTAATGTATGGCTTTTGTTCTTGTTACAAAACGGTTCCTAGAGAGGCATTTGGGGCTGAAAAACGCCAACATACCCTCTCGACATAACACTTCAACTTCCAGCAGCTTCATCAGCTAGTGACTGAGTGCGCAATTTCCACGGCTTGTCTTTTGAGCGGCTCTTGCAGGCACATGATTATATGGTTTATTGGCAGAAAGCTGGGAAATCAGAAGCAGCAAAGTGCTCGTTCAGGTTTATCCACTTCCAGCAGAGTGCCAGTTCAGGTTTATCGAGCCAGTGCAAGCTCCCTCCTTCCCCTGAATGGAGATTCTTTAACTAAACTTGTTCGTTTGCCGTGTGCACCGCTGTTGTTTAAATAAAGGAAAGTCAGCAACAGTCTTCAGTACTGCTGGTGATCAGAACGGCATCCGGCAGCCTGCAGTCCGGCTACAGCCTTGCCGAGGAGGTAAATGCAAGGAAATCTGCTCAAGTTTGTGCTAATAAAAGAATTAATACTATTTTTTGCACGAGAGTGGACTGCTGCATCAGAGTGGACTGCTGCCTCTTCTTCACTTGCACAGCCGTCGCCGACTGTTCAGTTGGCCCTCCGCAGCCGCGATCTAGATTTGCACGCGCAGGCTTCATCTCAGGCAGGCTATACTGAAGCCGGTTTTTCAGTGATAGATAATTATTTTCTTTTAAAGTTAAGAGCTGATTTGCGTTAGTTTGGAAGGCTACAGCTGTTCTTGGGATTTCGTCGTGGGCTGCTGCCCACAGCGGAAGACAGAAAGCTGTGTGCCAAGGGCCGCTTGCAATTAGAAGTATTTATGCGGATTTCAGATGGAACGGAGTTGAATTAGTCATTTTATTTAGTTAGTTGCAGACATATGATCAATTAAGTCACTTCAGGCTTGATTTCATCTTTGCAGATTCTGAACGAGCATCGGCGTGCAGCGAGACGGGCTGCTGCCCGTCTCTGACAGCCGCAGCAGTGCCGACACACTCGCGTCCGAGGTTTCTTCGCGGGCCAAATTGAGCCGTGTCTTCCTTTAAGCAAATGAAATACAAAAAAAGAGAAAAATCCCGTTTGTATTTTCTGTAGGGGCATTATTTCACTGGAATACTCCCGCCTCAGTCCCCACAGAGAGTGCTCACCTGGCGTTGTCGCTCATTCCCTGCGACTCCCGTGCTTCACTTGAACATTACTCTGTCTGTGTTGAATAAACAAATACTTTTGGACTTTTTGAACAGCAAAATGGAGTCTTCTGCAGACAATGCCGCGCGGAGTGGCGCAGTTTCCGTGTCCGTGGCGTTGCCGTCGGACTGGACTGTGAACGAAAGGCAGATGTGCGATCTTGAAATGATCATGAGCGGCGCCTTTGCTCCGCTTGAGGGATTTATGAACCTTTCGGACTACCAAAGGTGGGCGAGGAATAAAAGTGGAGCTTCCTGGGGTCCGAAGTGGGCTTTCGTGCAAGACTTGGAGCGTTCAAGAAAGTTGAACGGTGTTGATGCGGGGCAAGATCCGCATCCTTTTCAGCGGAACTTTGTGTCATTTTATCCCATTTAGTGTTTTAAGCTATATTGGGAAAGAATTGGAAGAAAGCGGCACAAAGCAACAGCGCAGCAGTCGCTGCTCCGGGCATAGTTGAACTGCGGTGTTTTCGGCCCGGAAAACCCGGAAAGCTCTCTTTTTTGTGTGTGTTTGCGCCAAGTGTGTTGAATTTGATGACTCTACACATTTTTTTGTGTGTGTTTGCGCCAAGTGTGTTGAATTTAATGACTCTACAAACTTTTTTGTGTGTGTTTGCGCGAAGTGTGTTGAATTCGATGACTCTGTGCAACGGCGAAGTCTTTCCGCTGCCCGTGGTGCTCCTCGCGATCCCGAAGGCTTGCTGCGGCGACAACGCCGCCACCAACGTTTACTGGATGAGTTCCGCCTCCTCCGTCAGCACCAACCAAGGCCGCATGCTTCTGCGGGACTCCGTGAGCCAACTGCTGCTGCTTTGTGCTTGCTGCTGCTGCTGCTGCTGCTTTGTGCTTGCTGCTGCTGCTGCTGCTTTGTGCTTGCTGCTGCTGCTGCTGCTGCTTTGTGCTTGCTGCTGCTGCTGCTTTGCGCTTGCTGCTGCTGCTGCTGCTTTGTGCTTGCTGCTGCTGCTTCGCGCTTGCTGCTGCATTGTGCTTGCTGCTGCTGCTGCTGCTGCTGCTGCTGCTGCTGCTGGTGCTGCGCAGGTGGGAACGGTGATAGCGGAGTTGGTTGTGGAGAGCGTGTACTTGCCGGACTTGGAGGAGGAAATGGAGAAGGTGTTGGGAACTCGAGACCCGAACCACCCCTACGTGAAGTACCTGCGGGAGAGCCACGCGGAGTGCTACTACGTGGGCGGCCGCGTGCGGGCAGTTAACCCCATCGCTCACTTCAACTTCGAGGACTACCGAATGAGTCCGCGGCTGTGCAGGGAGAAGATCCGCGAGCGACGCTTCGAAGTGGTGGTGGGCTTTCAAACGCGCAATCCGCTGCACCGCAGCCACTACGAGCTCGAGTTGCGCGCGCTGCAGCAAGCTGCTGCTGCTGCTGCGCTGCGGCCGCTGCTGCTGCTGTCGCCCGTCGTCGGGCCCACGCAGCCCGGAGACGTGCCTTACTACTTGCGGGCGCGTTGCTACGAGCACATAATTCAAAAATTCGAACAAGACCCTTCTTGTCAGTTTCCCCACCTCTGCGCCACCTCCGCCAGCACTCCTGCGCGCAGCCCGCCGCAGCAGCAGCAGCAGCAGCAGCAGCAGCAGCGCAGCAGCAGCAGCAGCAGCAGCAGCAACGCCATGCTGGTCTTCATTCCACTCGCCATGCGCATGGCCGGGCCCCGCGAGTGCGTCTTGCATGCGCGCATTCGCAAAAACTACGGCTGCACCCACTTCATCGTCGGCCGCGACCACGCGGGGCCTTCCGCCCGCCGCCAGGACGGGTAACTCCGCCGCTGCTGCTGCTGCTGCTGCTGCTGCTGCTGCTGCGGCTGCGGGCGCCGCCAAGAGCAGCAGCAGCAGCAGCAGCAGCAGCGGCTTTCGCCTTGCTGCGCGCCCGCAGCAGCAGCTCCTGCGCTGCTGCCCGCACGCACGCATGCATGCACCTGCATGCACCTGCATGCACCTGCATGCATGCATGCATGCATGCATGCATGCGCTGTGCTGCGACGTTCGCAGCACTCCGTTTTACGGGCCTTACGACGCGCACAAACTGCTGGCCTCGGTGGCCGCGCAGCTGGGGATAACTCCGATCTTCGGAGAAGAAATGGTGTACGTGGGGGAGCAGCACGGCGGGTACGTTCCTGCGGGGCAGCTGGCGGAGCTGCAGCAGCAGCAGCAGCAGCAGCAGCAGCAGCAGCTGCAGGTGCACTCCATCTCGGGCACGGAGTTCCGCAGACGCCTCACCGCCCGCCTCCCCATCCCCGAGTGGTTCTCTTTTCCCGAAGTCATTGAAGAGCTGCAGCAGTTCTACAAACAAAACCACGAGCGCGGCCTTTGCGTCTACTTCACAGGGCTGCCTTGCTCCGGTGCGGCCCCTTCCCGCTGCTGCTGCTGCTGCTGCTGCTGCTGCTGCTGCTGCTGCGCTGCTGCTGCTGCTGCGCTGCTGCTGCGCTGCTGCTGCAGCCGGCGGCGCTCTTCTTGCATGCGTTTGCATGCAAGTGTTTGCATGCAAGTTTGCATGCGATCAGCCGCTGCTTTTGGCTTTCTTTGCAGGAAAAAGCACTTTGGCAAATGCGTTGGAGGCGGCGATCCTCGAAAACCGCAGCGAGCGGCGCAACGTGACTTTGCTGGACGCCGACGTCGTGCGGCAGCACCTGTCGAAGGGGCTGGGGTTCAGCCGGGAAGACCGCAGGAAAGTGGAACTAAAAGCAATTAATAAATGCAAAATAACAAAAATAATTAATTTTTGTTGCTGCTAGGCGTTTGTTTCCGGCTTTTCCCGCGCTTTCCCCGAGTTTCCCGCGCGCGCGCTCACGCGCGTTCGGGTGTACGTACACCTGCGCTGCAGCACCAACGTGCGCCGCATTGGATACATCGCCAGTGAAATTACGAAGCACGGCGGCATTTGCATAGTCGCCAACATTGCGCCTTACACTTGCGACCGCGAGTTCAACAGAAAGCTAATCGAAAAGGAAGGAGGTCTGTTTTCCTGCTGCTCCTGCTGCTCTTTTGCTGCTGCTGCTGCTGCTGTTTTGCTGCTGCTACTGCTGCTGCTACTGCTGCTGCTGCTGCTGCTGCTGCTGCTGCTCTTTTGCTGCTGCTGCTGCTGTTGCTGCTCTTCTGCTGCTGCTGCTGCTGCTGCTGCGCTGCTGCTGCTGCTGCAGCGCCGCGGCTTGCGCGCGTGTGCTGCTGCAGGCGTGTACGTGGAGGTGTACGTGTGCACTCCCCTTGCCGTCTGCGAAGAGCGAGACATAAAGCACTTGTACAAAAAAGCCCGCCAAGGAATTATCAAACAATTCACCGGAGTCTCCGACCCCTACGAGGCCCCGCAGCAGCCGGAGTTGACTGTGGACAGCAGCTCCGACATCAAAGCCAAAGTCGCGCAAGTCCACCAGTACCTCAAGGACAAGGGCTACGTCTTGGACTCCGCAGCCCCCTCCAAGTGCTGCTGAACGCAGCAGCAGCAGCAGCAGCAGCAGCAGCAGCAGCAGCGGCAGCAGCAGCAGCAGCAGCGGCAGCAGCAGCAGCAGCAGCGGCGGCGGCGGCAGCAGAAGCGCTGCGCATCTGCTGCTGCAGGCGTTGCGGTGTACATACACTGCAGCGGCCCGCGAGGCCCCACGACCACTCCGCACTGCGAGCTGTCATTTCTTTCTTTTCCTTCTTTTCTTTCATTTCCATTTCGTGAAATCCATTCGCGTTTTAAGAACGCCGCGGTGTACAGACATTGCGGTGTACAGACACCTGCGGTGTACAGACACCTGGAGTGTACAGACACCTGGGGTGTACATACATACACCTGGGGTGTACTGACACGCCGAACTGCTGCTAAGACAGTTTCAAAATTTGTTTTCGCTGGACTCTTTTCCAGTTCAAAGAAAGAAGCAAAAAGATAAAGATTTAAATGTTTATTTTGAGTTTTGTTTTTGCAAAAAGACTTCGGAAGTGGAAAGTGGAAATTAGAAATAAAAGAAATGAAAGCGACTTGAGGCGGCTAGGCGGGCTGCGGCCGTCCAGGTGTACAGACAGCTGAGACTCAGATGTCGTCTTCCAGAGAAGTCAACAAAACTTTGTTGCTGCCTTTCGCAACAGTCACGCCTGCTGCTGCTGCGTCCGCTGCTGGCTGCGCAGCAGCAGCAACTGCAGCAGCAGCAGCAGCAGCAACTGCAGCAGCAGCGCCGCCCCGAGCCTCCGAAGACAGATCCACCTTCTCCCCGGGCCGAAACGCCGGAAGCCCTAAGCAGAAAAACCAGAATCCCAAACCTCCCCAAACCCTAAACCCTAAACCCTAAACCCTAAACCCTAAACCCTAAACCCCAGACCCCAAACCCTAAACCCTAAACCCTAGACGCACCGCGGTAGGGGCACCCTGCGCATCTGAAGGCGTCTCCCAAGTAGCACTGCAGCACAGCAGCAGCGCAGCAGCGCAGCAGCGCAGCAGCAGCGGTGTACGTACACCTGGGGGGCGCGCTGCAGCGGCGGGGTGTACGTACACCCCAGCGCACTCACGTTGCCGCAGGAACTCCGCACGAGTCCGTTCTCCAGTTCTTTTTTGAAAGCTTCTTTTGCTGCAGCTTCTTCCGCCTCCTTGCGGCCGCAGGTGCAGTTCGCGCAGGCCCGCGGCCGCGACGCGCACGCGCTCCGCCCTAAACCCAAACCCTAAACCCTAAACCCTAAACCCTAAACCCTAAACCCTAAACCCTAGGCGCACCGCGCAGGGGCGCCCTGCGCATCTGACAACCCCCCTGCACGCGGCAGACAGCGGCGCTCGGCAGCGGGCGGAGCTCCTGAGGACGCGGCAGGGATCAGGGTTTAGGGTTTAGGGTTTAGGGTTTAGGGTTTAGGGTTTAGGGTTTGGACCTTTGCCCAAGGGTTTGTAGGTCTCGCTGGGGTCCACGAGGGCGTCTTCGTCCACCAGCCCCGAAGCAGCAGAAGCCCCAATTGCTGCAGAGGCCCCCACGGCCCAGGGGGGCCTCCGATGCAAACCCTAAAAGGGGGAATAAGCCCGGAGTGTTGCGCAGCAGAACGCAGGGTTTAGGGTTTAGGGTTTAGGGTTTGGAGCGCGCTGCTGCCTGGGAGGCAGCCAAGCTTGCAACGCTGAAAACAGGGTTTAGGGTTTAGGGTTTGGAGCGCGCTGCTGCCTGGGAGGCAGCGAAGCTTACCCCGCCTAGGGTTTAGGGTTTAGGGTTTCTTGCGAGGGTTTAGGGTTTAGAGGAATTAGGGTTTAGGGCCGAAGGGTGTTTTTGTCCCCGCGGCTGGGGGTTTAAGACGCCAGAAGAGGCACCGGCTGAAACACCCCGCACGTGGGGCTTAGGGGTTAGGGTTTAGGGTTTAGGGTTTAGGGTTTAGGGTTTGCAGCTCACGAGAGTAACTCCCTTTTCTGCTGCTGCTTTTATTTCATTTGTCCACTCCGACTCCGGCACTGACACGAAGCCGGCGTACAGACAGCTGCGTGCTGCTGCTGCCATCACCTGCAGCAGCAAACTGCAGCAGCAGCAAACAGCAGCTGCAGCCAAAGCAGCAGCAGCAGCAGCAAGAGCCAGCAGCAGCAGCAAGAGCCAGCAGCAGCAGCAGCAAAAAACAGCAGCAGCTCCAGGCCACCGCAAAAGCAAACCGCACCAGCAGCAAATCGACGCAGCAGCAGCAAGGCGAAGCAGCAGCAGCAAACCGAAGCAGCAGCAGCAAACCAACGCAGCAGCAAGCTGCTGCAGCAGCAGCAAGGTGCAGCAGCAGCAAGGTGCAGCAGCAGCAAGGTGCAGCAGCAGCAAAGAATGAAGAAGTGCACAGCAGCGCTAACTGCCTGTTGAAGAAGCAGCAGAAAAAGGAGACACTTTATGAATTTTGGAAATAAGAAAA